ATATGTCACACTGCTTAAAATCTTTTGAAGGCTTCCCATTTTCCTTAGAGTAAATCCCAAGCCTCCTTAAGAGGATCAAAAAACCCAAACCCCTCCATAACAAACCTTAGAAATCTGACTGTAGATTGAGGCTGCTAGAGGGGAGAGGGAGTAGAACAAAGTGGAGGGGGGCTAGTGGACCATGGTGAACTATCTGTGCCTTGGTAATGGGTGTGGTGTGGTGACACACTGAAGAGTGTGATCCTGTACGGCTAGGTCATATACAGTATTGTCCCCCAACGTCACTGCAATAATAATATGTAAAACATAAACATAAAACCCTCCATGATCTGACCTTTGCCTCTTCTAACTGCACTAACCATCAGTCACCAGCCTCACTGTCTTATCTGGTAGCTAGGACACAGAGGAGGTATTTCCTCCTGCAATTTCTGAGATTCATCATTTAGGTATAAACATGCCTCTCAGGGTTGGTCCTCTGTTCCTCCCCTCCCCCCTCTCCCAACCCATGTCACCATACAGTTATTCTGCAAAGTCTGTCTTCACTGCATGATGAATTTCCAGCTGGCAAGTCTGCTACCAAAGCCATTTTCACTTGAATGTGCTTGGGTCACATCCTCTGATCAGCCTCAAACCATCCCTTCTAAACCAACCCCCTCGCCTTTCCTGGGGACCAGTGGGGTACTGGTAAATGGTCAACAACCAGCTCACTCAAAAAAAGAGAGATGGAACCCTGGTTTGCAGAATTTGCTGATTTCTGTGGTATAAATATTACCATCATGGCTGATTTCAAACTAAATTTTAATAATAAACTGTCAATATTTTTGAAAATTTAGCAATCAGCTCTCATAAGGTGGTCCTCAATCTGGCATAGCTCACCTGTAACTCTCTAGGATCTTGATTTTAATTTTTTTCAGAGTGCTCATCCTTATCTGACATTATATTACATAATCTATTTATGCACTGTTTTTCTGCCCCATTGCAATTTATGCTCCTGATCTTGACTATCTTTTGCCCTGCTGTATCTCCAGCACCTAAAATAAAGTCTGATGCAGACAAGAGGCTAAAAAAGAGTTGTTTGTCCAGTTGCACAAGGGGTTAAAAGTCTAAGCACTATCAAGCTATCACAGCCCAGGCTAGGGAGCTACTCACATGGCTCATCAGACCTCTCCTGGCTGGCCAACTGCCCCCCTCAGCAGTGTATTTGGCAGATCTGCCTGTTCTGCTCCCCATTCTCTCTCTGGTGAATGCTTGCACCCCCTGCACCTCTAGCCTACAACCTAGCTCTTGTATGCATAAATAAACAAATCTTTTAAAAAAAGAATTTTTGTTACAATAATAATTAGTGAAAAGTGCTGCGAAGGAAATGTTTAATGTTTCCTTTCTCCTCTTACCCCACACCTTTTTATCTTTCTAAAAGATGAGGCACTTCAGTGACCATGTGAGAAGCTAAAACACATTTATGAAATACAACAATACAAACATTTTATGTGTGTTCAAAGCAGATATTCTAGATCTCAAAACTTACTTGTTGGTTTGGTCCACAGGTATAGAGAATCCATCTGGAACTAAAGCCTTATCAATTTGGTCCCAATGTATCTGCACCAAACATGAAGGAAAGTCTGAATAATCAACCACACTACTGTTATTGCTGGTACATTCTTTCCTATAAAGTTTTAATAACTGGAAGCTGCCTAATTATTTATTCAGTAGCACAGTCTTCTAAAATAGGTAAAAATATAAAGTCTACCTTAGTATATATTGCCCATTGTTTTTAAGCATGTGTTATTTTATTGTTTATTGTTCACATTGATTGAAAAAAATCACTTTTACTTATAATTGAAGAGTAGATGGACATAAAGTAGCAGGTGGGAGGAAAGTCTTAGCGTACAGGTGTAAAACATACTTCAAGATCAAAGAAGGAATCCCATCTTTAAGATAATATAATAAAAATTATTTTAAAAAAGCAGATTAGGGCCTCCCCTGGTGGCGCAGGGCTGCGGAGGGGCTGTGAAGCTGCTGGCAGCCTCCGCAGCGCCGTTTAGATCCCCGGCCACCTGGCGAGGGTCCCACATGGTGCGCAGACCTCTCCTGCCTTGCCCGCTGCTCCCCTCTGCAGTGCATTTCATCAGTCTGCCTGTTCTGCTCCCCACTCTGGCTCTGGTGGATTCTCTCACCCTCCCGCGCTTCTGACTGTACCCAGTGCTTGTATAAGTAAATAAATCTTTAAAAAAAAATAAAAAAGCAGATTAAATCTAAGCTACAATCTGGCTTTCATCAGTACTCACATAAAAATATATCTGAAATCGTTCTTCAAGGTCATCAGCTTCATAGTTTAGAACATCTTGCAGGCCCCTAATGAGAATTTTGGTTTAAAATTATATTTATTGGAAAAAATATATTTATTGAGATTGTAAAAGTAATTATAAAAGTTATAAATGTTCAGTGGAAAAATTTCTGAACAATCTAGAAAATGTACAAAATGCAATGTAAATCCTCTGCTCTAGCATCCCACTCCCTCTTAAGAATTAACCTTAACAGTTTGATTGTTTGGCCCAAGCCACCTCACAGTCAGACTGTGTCTCTGTGGCAATTACAATAAAAAACCTTTCCTCTGGACCAGTGATTTTCAACCAGGGCTGATTTGCCCTGACTGGAGATATTGACAAAAATCTGGAAACATATCTGTCACATTTAGGGAGATGGTTGTCGCGGACATCTAGTGGGTATCAACCCCATATGCAGCTAAACAAGCCCTATGTGTCTCTCCATGCCTACAACAGCCTTTCACAACAAAGAGTCATCCAGCTCAAAATGTCAGTATTGCAAATATTGAGAACCCCTGTTCCTGACTGTCAGGGCAAGCAGTATAAATATAGCTAGTTGATTCTTCCACTAACACACCATGAGAAGAGAGTCCTTTTCCCCAGTCTATGGCCAACACCATGTTTTATGAAAAAACATTTTAACAGGTGTCAATCTGTAAACAAAAAATGACCTCTCCTTTTCATTTTGTACTTCTTCCATTACTAGTGAAGTTGAGCATGTCTTCATCTTAAAATTACCTATAAATGTACTTACATGGACATATATGTTTATATATCAGCGATATCAATCTTATCATATATATTGCCAGTATTCTCCTCACAGTATATAGCTTGCCTTTGAACTTAAAAAACTATTTTTCATTTGTTAAAAAATAAAGTTGATGAAATACTAAAACATTTAAAATAAATATAGCATGAAAGATTCTCACTAAGAATATTATGAACTATCCAGGCAACTGTTTCTACCAGGATAAAATCAAGAGATCAGACCAGAGCTGTGTATTGCTTTATAATTAGAGGAATATTTGGCTTTTTCCTATTTTTGAAGGTTTACTTGATTATGCCATGCTAAAATTCAAATTCATATAAAGGGCATACATTTACTGAATTTGAAGACTGTGAGTGTGTGCATGTATGTGTGTGTATGGAGGGGCATGATTTATATCTAAATGACCTAGATATTATAAGGACTAACTACTTACTTCCCCAAAAGAGGACTGAGTTCTTTTAAGTCTTCCAATGATGGATTGAGACCCAAAAGTTTCTTAAACAGAGCTAGTGGGAAAGGGATATTGGCAACATTTAAATGGAGTAGGGAAAGTCCACACAGCACTCCAAAGAGGTAATATCTCTCCTTCTCAAATATAGCCTGGAAAAGGAAAACAAATCCTTTAATGTATTATAAATAATCAATAATCTGAAGGGATAATTAGATTGTGAAAATGATTTTGGTTCCTGATTCTAAAAGTCACAAACTAAAAACAAAATGGACCTTAAAAAAATAATAATTTGAGGTTCTTAATCCATACTTTAAAATACAAATGGACAATTCAGGCTATTAAATGAATTTACTTTTTGTTACTGCATCTGGAATATAAAAAAAATATATATATGTTCAGGTAGTCTTATAGAGCCAGTTTTCACTATTGAAGTTTACAGTCACCTAATATCATCTTAGGTTCATTTACCTAATAAAATCCCCCATCAAGGGGGCACTTGGGGGGAGCCTCACTGGTGGTGCAAGGTGTTAAGTGTCAGCACTACGAGGCTGTCGGCAGGGAACAACCCATGTGGCACAGCAGACCTCTCCTGTCTTGCCCGCTGCTCCCCTCAGCAGTGTATTTATGTAGATCTGCCTGTTCTGCTCCCCACTCTGTCTCCGGTGAATCCTCACATGCCTAGCACCTCTGGCCTGTACCCCAGTTCTTGTATGTATAAATAAATAAATCTTAAGACAAATAAAGAGGGAACCTGGGGATCTTTTCCTGAACAAGCACCCCATGAAGAGATGTGATCTGGTAATGAAACTACACTGTGCCTTCGAAGCAAAAATTCCAGATGTTCCACGCTGCCCAGCCCAGCCCAATAGCAGAAATCCTATAAAAATATTAACTAATCTTTTAGGAAGGCAAGACTGTATTTTGGGAACAATCCCTCTGCCTCCAACTTGATTCAAGTAATCCAATCTTATTTACCACAAATCTTCCACTTGGTCTGGTTAATTAGCTGATATACTCCAAGCAGTCAACCCTGGTACTCAGTGACAGGAGAAGGGGTACAAGTAAGGGGAGAGTAATATTAAAAAGGGATATGAAGAAAAGTTTGGGGGATGATGGAAATGTTCATTTTCTTGATTGTGGTGACAGTTTCATAGATATATGTGTATATCAAAACTTAGCAGATTGAATACTAAATCTGTGCACATGTGTATCAAGTACACTACATTAAAGTTGTTTGAAAATTTAATGTGCATGTGAATCGCCTTGGGATCTTACAAGATTCATGTTCAGAACTGGGTAGGTCTCAGTTTCTACTTATCTAACCATTCCAGGTGATGCTGAGCCACATTTTGAGTAGCTGTCATCTATTGTTACATTATTATGTAAGGTCTTCATATTGTAGTATCTGGTATTTCTTTTCTGTTTTGAAATACAAGAAAATTCATTAAAAACTTACATTAACAGGAAACCACATGTAGGAACCCTCTTCAGGATATATGAACATTCCATATTCGACCTTGGTCATCTCTTCAAATATACAGTGGAAGAACTCGGATATTACTCCTTCACCCAGGGAAGTAATTTCTTCTACAAATTCAATCTGAAGAAAGAGAATATACTCCCAGGTCTATATTTCAAATATATGCCTGATCTTCATGGAAAAGTTTTAAACCTCCTATAGTCACCAGGATTCCCAGAATCCCACCTCCCTCACCTCACTGCCATCTGCTCTCCTTCATCTTGCTACTGAGCAGTGGATGTCATGAACCTATTTATTGTCAGATTACTGTATAGTGAGTGCTTTGGTCCTTCACACTGCTACTTCATCTGATGAAGGGGGACTCTGGGAAGACACAGTATTCACCAATTATGTTGACCAGCATCCAGAACCAAGTATTTATGTGCTTCAAAGTTGGTGGAGGCCACTAAATTTCCTGATTCTTCCGTTCTGTTATCTATCTTCATCTCATCATTAGATTTGCCACTTTGGCTCAGTCTACAACTACTTGATTTCTCCTGCCTCTACCCTCATTAGGATTTCTGATAAACAACCTTACAATCAGCCTGGACATGGTACTTTGCAGGAATCCTCCGAACTGACTGTGCATAGACTTCATGTGGGAAATCAGTAGGAACTAGTCCTTCTTTCTAAAGCCCAGCTTTGGACTTTGTGGCCAGTACTGGCTTTCATCCTATGCCTCCAATAATTTATTCCCTACTTCCTTTTCTGGCTAATTTCTTTTTATCCATTTTAATGTGGAAATTACTAATCTTCACTAAGAGTTTCCTTTCTGCTGACTTTGGAAGATATTACCTTCCCATTTGATCATTCCAACTCCTTGGCTGCAGACTATCATCTCCAAGGCCTGCTTCAGATTCCAACTAAATATTCCAATAACAAATTAAGACAATTTATAATTGCCTTATTTTTGCACATTTATAGTAATATATCTGCTGTGTACAGGACCCATTCATAATGGGCCTAGATGATCATACCTTGCTCAGGCTTTATCTTTTGTTTGGCTCTATCTTATAGTTTACCTTGTCACCTCAGTCACTTCCTATAGGTAGAAATATTTTCTGTTGGTTTCCTCATAATCAATATTTAAAGGAAAATACACACAGGGAGAGAAACTAGAAATTCTGCCTTTATTACAACGTAGTTTCTTCATTTTTCATTGGAATTCCATGCTGGGACATACCCTCTTGATCTGGTCTCTTCACCCTCCAGGTTCTGGTTTCTTCTCTGATAACCTAATTCTTTCTCTTGGGGTTGATCAGGAAAATCCACTCCTTCTGGACAGACTCTAGTTATTACCTACAGTCAGCTAGACTTATTCTATTGCCTCAGTAGGACAAATGGTCTGAGGTACCACACACAATAAAAGCCCTGCTGGAGTCCACAATGGATGAAGTGAAAATGGCCAGAATTGGAACCAACATAGTAGAAAGCATATGACTAAAACTCGAGCCAAAATATAGAAAAATATCTGCTTCCCTTGCACCTTGTGATTGCATTAATAGCCTCAGTTCTTTTCCTTCTTCATCCATGTTTTTTGCCTGTGACTTTGCAATTCGTTCCAAGAAGGAGGCTTACATGGGAGTGGCCCATGCATACTTTGACTAAAGTGATGTTTGTTGTGTGACTGAGTTTATTACCTTGTGTCTGTGGCTCTGCTTTGAGAACACCATGATAGCCCAGAAGAAGATGAAAAACATCAGAAGTTGGACTAAATTGCCCCACTCAGGCCTAGCCTAGCTCAACTGAACCCTACTCAACTCCAAGACATGTAAACAAGTGCAGGCAAAATCAGCAAAGCCTCGTATATGAATTCAATCTAGATCAGCAGACTTTCAGCTGAATTGTAGATTTCTAAAATAAGTTATTATTATTATTATAAGCTATTAAAGTTTGGAGGTCTCCCTGTTAGCCTAGGGGTTAAGTTTCAGTGATATCACTGCCAAGGCGTGAGTTCAATGCCAGGCCAGGGAGCTACTCACATATAGTGCAACACACCTCTCCTGTCTCACCTGTGACTCCTCTCAGCAGTGTATTTCAGTAGATCTACTTGTTCTTCTCCCTACTCTGTCTCTGGTGAATTCTCTCACCCTCCACACCTCTGGCCTAAACCCCATTGTTCTATGCATAAATAAACAAATATTTTAAATAATTAAATAAAGGGATTGTTGAAAAAACTATTGAGACTTATTGAAAAAAATAACTTATTAAACTTTTGGATTTTGTAGCATTTTTGTAGGCATAATAATTAATAGTTACCTCATAACCCCAGTGTTCAATTAAACATTCCATAATTTTCTCAGAAGTTAAGCAAGGAATGGAAACTAAAGCCTGATAACTATAGTTGCAATTGCAGGTTCTTTCATTATGCCTTATTAAGTATTTCCCACTTTAGTAAAAAGTAAATATCTCCCACTTTAGTAAAAATTTCCAATGAGACTTTTTACTGTACCACTAATTGTTTGTGGAGATCAGTATCTTCAGCTTGGCTCAACTGGCGCAGAGTATCTTCAACTAGGTGACTACGTCTGACTTTAAGAAGATACAGAGGTAATATATGACTTGTCGAGATTCCTTGCATGATATCAAGAAATCTAATTGCATTTAACACCTAGGAAAAGAAATATTTTAGGAATTTTCATAGGAATACTATGAAGCATTTAATATTTCAAATAAAAGTTTATACAGAATACCCTTATGCATACCACTGCTATATGTATTCATATTGCCATTTTTAAGGGAAAGGGCATTATATCACCACTATGGAAGAGGACATGTTCCTAGAATCAGAGAAATTATGGCACCAAATTAGCTCCCATGCATTATAGATAAGTAATGAAAAGTCACCTCTCACCACTTATAAAAACATGATACTTAAAGGCAACAGTGATATTCAGCATGTTAAGACATTCATCTACCATATGTTACAAGAAGAATGTTGGCGCTATAATCCTCAAGAACAGAATGGCAGCCTAGCAGCTCAGAGATAGTGTTAAATGTCAGTAAAGACTTGCTTGTGAAAGCAATCCTTTACCAAATCTTCCTGGGAACTACCTAAAATTATTGGTGACCTCATTTTGAATTCTCTTAGATTAGAAATCTAGTGTTGACTTGCTTTGATCTTCAACATAAACCAATTCATCCCTCTCGGGATTTGTCCAACAATGGTGACAAGATGGTAGAGAGTAACTATCTCAGCCTGTGTTTCCAGATTGGCTGTGGGTGCACATAGCAGCGTTCTACAAATATCCACGAGAAATGCATATGTGGCTCTGAGCTGGGGCTAGCCCTCTCCCAAGTCTCTCCTACCAGGAAATTTATATATGATTCCACTGGATTCTTCTGGATTATCCTCAAGATGGTTGTAAAGAAGCTCTGGGTTTGTTGGAAAATGGGAAGAGTCCATTAATGGGCCTTTATGGTCATGAGTCATCACTTCCTGGGAAACCTGAACGTCCCTCACTATGGTGCAGTGCATTCCCTGGCCCTGTGTGACAGCAAGTCGCAGCAAGCCCCCTACTGACTTTAACAGAGAGAGGTGTGTGTGGCTGCTGCAGGCTCAACCTTTTCTCTCCTAACAAAAGTTGAATTGGAAACCTGCATGCTATCATAATTCCCTGCTGCTCTACTCCAGGTCTTCCTGGATTGCTTGTCCCTTTCTACATTTATGCATTTGCATTAGTACCCCAATTTGGAACTTACAGATTTGACTGCCCATCATCTCTCCTTTAGAGGATGAGATTCTGGAGTCTGCTTCTAACTTCACCCATGCCAACTACACCTAAGGGTTTTCTGATCATCAAACCTTCCCTAATTCTTCATGATAAGCAACCTGTTTGGGTCCACTCTCCACTCAGCCCTCACTGACAGAGCAGACAGATTAGAACATTGCTGAAAAGGAAACACCATGGAAGAAAGGACTTGTTTGTTTAAAGGAAACTTAAGGGGACGCTAGGTTTGAGGAGGAAAGACCATCTACTTTCTCCCATTGCCATGGATTTAGGAAAGTTTTTTTTTTAAAAAAAGAGATGACTAAGAAAGAAGGATGGCCTAGTCAAATCTTAGAAATGTGCCGATGGAATAGTACTCAGCAATCAAAAAAGATAAACACATGCAGTTTGCAGCAACATGGATGGAGGTAGAAGGGATCATGCTCAGCGAAATAAGTCAGAAAGAAAAAGAAAAATACCAGATGGTCTCACTCATAGCAGGAATTTAGAAAACCTAAATAAGGGACCAGGAAAAAGACTAATTAATACAAAGTAAAAATCAAAATCAACAAGCAACTATAAACCAGAGATACAATACGGGGCGGGGAGGGGACGGAAGAGGAAGGACTAGGGTCAAAATAAGGGGGGGGTGCAATTGTATGGGGAATATAACCAAAATGAAAATGCATACATTGTGCAAAATACATTGTGCATACATTGCACAATGCATACATTGTGCAAAATACATACATTGTGAAAAATGATGTAAGAATTATATAGAATAAATTTTTTTTTAAAAAAAGAAACATGCTGATGACAGGTATTAATATGAGTAACTTGTGGGTGAGTCCTTATCTCTGGAATGCTATGGACCCTGTCTCTCTGAATAACTTAAAATACAAATAAAACTGGATTTTATCTTTTACAAAACATGGTTCATTGGGAAATATCATTTAAGCTATGTAATTAATAGACTATAAAGATAAAATATTTTGTAACTGAAGAGGTTCCTGGTGTGCATGTGATGCCCCAAATGTCTTCCTGTTCACCTAAGATGACCTGTATCCTTTCAAGTACTAATGGAAGTAAGTAATGGATATTATTTCGGATTCTTGGAAGTCTTTAGAGTTTAAATCATGAACATGAACATTTCATGAGGAATGGCTTAGAAAATAAGCCTTAGCAATCAAAAAAAAAATTGTTTGGAAAACCTATAGCACAATGCCTTGGAATGGAGGGTGCAGTAGACCCTTCATTATGTATATTCTTAACTGAGAACTAAGGCTGATGTTGATAGGAAAGACAAAATACTGTTTAAATTATCTGTGTATCATTTAATAAGGTTAAAACTAAGCCACTAAGCCCCCATTCCCTCCCCAGTAGGCAAGTTTGGGAGGCTTGAATAGAAACGGGAATTGATAAGGATGCTATGGGAACTGAGCCATTAAGACCAACCCCCAAGACAAGAAAAACCAGCTCAGCTCCAGAAATGCAGAAGCAGGGCCAGGACACCTTCTGTGTCAAAGGCAGGGCCTGAGACCAGACATCCCAGCAGATCACTGGTGCAAACCAGTGCCCCAAGTAAGAAAGCCTGAGAAAACAAAGTTTAAAAGAGACCCTCAAATCCTTCCCGCATGGACATCTCCCGTCTCACCCATTGTTCCCTTGTAGGTTATTTTAATAAATCCATCTTTCCGGTTCTCCACTTGTCTCTGGTGGAGTCTTTCATCCCTATAGCTCTAACGGTACCCTGGTATTAGACCACCATATAAATGATATGTGGAATAATGCAACTGCCAGACAAGAAGCAGAAGGGATACAGTGAGTGGAAAACAAACACTGGCTCATAGGGGTTATCTGGAAATAAAAAAAAAAAATCAGTTGGAACTTGATATAAATCAAGCTCCAAGACTTTTAAGCAAATATAAGACCAAAAGACTAAAACTAAGAATATAATAGCAACTGAAATTGGATTGAGTAAGTAAGGGAATGGCGTGGGACAGTTACTAGATAATTTCAGTATTGTTCAGAGTAGGAAAACTGTGAATATTATCTATAGTAAATAAGGATTTGGGTTTTGTATTATGAGAAATGGAATATTACAATGAAGTATCATGATTAGCCCACGGAATTGGAAAAGCTTGGTAGCACTCCACACAGGTGAAAGTGTATAAAAGAGGCATTTCATGCATTGCTGGTAGTAACATAAATTGGTGCAATCACTATGTATAATAATTGAGCAACATGTAATAATTATGAAAAAGATTAAACATCATTCTGAAACTGGTCAGGAACTATTTTTGCAAAGTCCAACCCTGCCTCACAAGGATGGTCAAAGACTTCTCATCCTTCTCTTCCTGTGTATATTCCCTCCTCCCATTTCACACTCTGGCAGGCTTCTTTTGCAAGGCTAGCAGAGTCTGATGAGTAAACAACCAGGCAACGCAGGGTTTTGCAGGTTATCAAGCAGTTCTGGTGGACCAGGAGTAGCTTTAAGATGCCAAACGCTGGAAACCCTGCACAGGGCACATGCTAAGCCCAACCTAAAGGAAATGTGACCCGGGAAGAAAATGAAGTCCTTACACCTGCACGTTGGGAACTCCCCCACCCCTGACCAGTCCGAGCACTTCTAAGCCCTTCTCTCTCCCTAAAGCTGCTAGTCCTGTAGGGGTGGAAGGGCAGGTTTGCACCCGTTTCTGCTGCTATACTTAACTGGTTACATAAACAAAGCTTTCTCCCTGCTGTGCAACCCACTGTCATGGCGTGGCCATCTGTGTGCAGTGGGCAAAGGGCCCACGTTAGGTCTCATTACACTTCTATCTTCCTATCTGAGTGATTTCTCAGGGTAACCAAGTGACCCTGATTTTAAAATATTTTAATTAATGAAATTCTTTGGTCTTTTAAGAGTAATTTATTTATGTCTACTAGAACTTGAATGCAGCCCAGAGATGCAGGGGGGTGAGAGGATTCACCAGAGGCAGGGAGCAGAACAGGTGGTTCTACTGGGGAGCAGAACAGGCAGTTCTACTGAAATACACTGCTGAGGGGAGCAGAGGCCGTCAGAAGAGGTCTGCTGTGCCAGGTGTGTTAGCTCCTTGGCGGGCCAGGTATGGAATTTGCACTGTAGTGGCTAGGTGATATCTTGATAGTGCTGTCTTTAACCCCTGCACCAGCAGGGAGGCCCCTGAAAGCCTTTATTGCATATATTTTTCACTTTCTCTGTTTGTGTAAATAAAACTCATGCTTTTTTTTTCCTGTCTGCAAAAGATGACCAACTATTCTGATTCTAAACAATATGGAGCAGTAAATATGAATATAAGTCTGCAAAGTCTGCCTCAAAATATGTATGAATTTCCTACAGCACTGTAAACAATTGCTTTAGAGGGGCAAAGAGGAAATCTTCCCATACCCTCCTGGGTTCTTCTACACTGCCAAATAATCAAATAAGTGTCAATCAGATTGATACCTCAGTACACACGGGAGAAACCCAGTAAGACAAAGGGCATTGCGGGGGCGGGTAGCAGTCATGCAGGGGTGACCCAGAAAGGTGAGACTGGCTGAGCCGGTGCCACCTGTGGCCAGAGGAGCCAGAGACACAGGGCTGAGAGCTCCAAGGAGCTTGAACAGAGGGCATGAGGGCGGGCAGATGGTCACACAGATGTCAGGTTTCTGCTCCTCAACCTGCCCGCTTGCTGGGTCCCCTTCTTCTCCATCAGGATGTGGGAGAGACCAGTGCATAGTGAGGGTAAGACATAGAGCTAATGTGAGTGGCCAGTGTGAAAACTGGTTGATGCTGTTGTGCCTGTGTCTACCGGTGTCGCATTGCCCTGTCCACTAATTCCTCATGCCATCAGGGATGACCTGTAGGTGTGGTCTTGGGACTGGTGTGGGTAGGTGACCTTGGGGCATTGGGAGGTGGGTCACAGCCTCCAGTAGCTTCCTTCACTGGAGAGCCACAAGGTGAGAGTGAGGAAAAACATGACAATCCCTCAAGGGCCCTTTTCATCCTCTGGATATTAAAATTGGGCAACCTTGAGAGTATTTTCTCTTCTGTACCTGCTGATTCTTACCACCCTGCTTTCCTTTATGGCTAAAAGTGAGGTAAAACTGCCAGAGACTTTGAGTCTACACAGCAAGTTATCATCATCTAAATTATGTAACTACAGGGCCTCCCCTGGTGGTGCAGGTGGTTGAGCGCAGTGCTGTGAAGCTGTATGCAGCCTCTGCAGTGCTGGTTTGATCCCGGCCGGCCGGGGAGAGTCCCACATGGCATGGTAGACCTCTCCTATCTTGCCCGCTGCTCCCCTCAGCAGTGTATTCTGTCAGTCTGCCTGTTCTGTTCCCTGCTCTGTCTCCGGTGAATCCTCTCACCCTCCCATGCATCTAGCCTGTAAGCCCGTTCTTGTATAAATAAATAAATAAATCTTAAAAAAAAAAAAAAACTATGTAACTACATAAAGGTTCAAGGAGGCCCTAAACCTAACTCCTAACTCTGATCCTGCCCTGACATGGCCTGGGGGCTCTGCTGCTTTCCTGGCTGGCCTGTAGCCGGGAACATGGCATTGGGGCACATGGGGCCTTGGTCTGGAATCTAGAAGTCCACAGTCACCTGGGACAAACCCTGGAGCAGATGCAAGGAACTGCTTCCATGTGGGCGCGACCTGCAGTGCCTTTCAGGGATTTGGGGGGCAGTGAGGTCATAAAATCCAAGCATGTGAAAAAAGAATTGCCCTAAACCAAATTCTAAGCCAACAGGCAACTGAAATTACTTGACCATGAAGGGACCTATATTCTTACCAACCAATACACTGCAGCCAAGTCCACATTCCTTTGCCCTTAACCTGCCCCTTAGTCTTTGTTCTCAACCCTGTTCCCCCAAAACCATTATAACCCACTCTCTTTCTTAAATGGGGAGACAGATTTGGGCTTTGGCCTCTGCCTCCTTCCCAGTTTACATCATAAATAAACTCTTTTTCTCTCAAATAATAGTAATAGGGGCCTTGACACACATTGGGCAGCAAGCCTTTTGTTTGGTAATGGTCACAAATGACCCTAATTGATGAGGAAAAGTTCTTTATAGCATTTAGTTAATCACGTTGGAAGGAATCATAAAAATTAGAAATATTGTGATTTTTGCAAACTTACCCAAGATAATGGATACAATTATTAAATAAAACTTCACGGGGGTCATTAAAATGGAATAATCATGTTGTCACTACCTAAACTTATTGATGGATCTCAGCATGCATGAGAGCCAGCTACCAGAAATAATGCATTGAACTATGGAGAGGTAAAGCTGGGCCTGAGATTTTCTTTCAAATACTTAAGCAAGAATAATAACTACAAAAATAACAAAAGTGATAGATGAAGAAAGTGTGACAAAATGTTGATGGCTGCTGAAACTTTTTATTTGGGATTCACTACACCATTCCCTCTATATTGCCTATGTTTGAAGCTTTATGTAATAAAAAAAAGTAAGACATACATACCTCCAGGCGAAACTTGAACTCAGCATGTAATAATTTAATTTTGGATAGCAAATTAAAGACAAATGGAAAATCACAGAAAATAACTTCAGTAAAGTTTTCAAGTTCCTGAAAATCAAACAGAAATAAGTTTTGGTAAAAGAAAAACTTTATTCCATTACTTTATCACCTTAAACTATTCCTTCTATATTTTTCGGAATTTGTAAGACTTCAGATTACAAATTGCTAAGAAAGTGAATTTGTTTTTGTGAATAAGGGATGTTTGTTTTCAATGACCATTTAATTCAGTAACCTCAGTATTGCAATGAAGAAATTTTCAAATCTTGATTTATCAAAGCGATAACTACAGAGCTACTAATGTGTCTCCATTTAAGGTATGAAAATTTTCAGAAGTATAGATGTTATTCTTACCATGTTATCTCTAATAAACAGTCTTCTTCGATCAGCAACAAAGTCCAAACAATTAGAGAGTTCATTTATGTGGAAAGTATTTTCTGATAGTGGACACTTAGCTTTGTTGTTTACCTTTGAGAGAATAGAACCTGTGAATTTCATTTTATATCAACAAATTAATACATATATGTATATGTATGACTGTTATGCAGTCAGAATAGAGCTCTAATATCCAATGCATTTGTAAATGATAAAGTAAAGTTCTATAAAACTTTCATTTTTAATCTATAATTTCTCCATAATTTTTTTAAAAAGGCTTATTTTTTATGCATACAAGAACTGGGGTATAGGCCAGAGGTGTGTGTGTGGCGGGGGGAGTGAGAGGATTCACCAGAAACAGAGTGGGGACCAGAACAGGCAGACTGACTGAAATACACTGCTGAGGGGAGCAGTGGGTAAGACAGGAGAGGTTTGCTGTGCCATGTGGGTAGCTCCCTGGCCAGGACTGAACTCATGTTGCAGTGGCTGGCGATAGCTTGAGAGCACTGTGTCTTTAACCCCTGAGCCACAAGGGAGGCCCCTTTTCATAATATTAAGTATATAAGATATTGGCAATGGAATTAATAAGCCAATTCTTAGGCCACATGTATATGGAAATTTTCTGGATCTTAAGAATAAAAGCACCATACAAATACAAGTTACTTTTAAAATAAATCTAGCATTTTCTCTATTAATTAATTAATATAAATTTAGCACATACGTTTTGTCAGGATTGGGACAAAATATAGGCAAAATTTGTTTTGGCTTAGCCAAACTTACTATCTGGTGTAGTAGTTGTTAAGCTCTTTTTCAAATCCAAAGTCATATTTTCAGCTTAACACATACAGTCTCTGGTACAACTATTAAACCCTGTCATTTTGTAGCATATAACAGTTATTAAAAAGCTCATAAACAGTGAGTATTTGATCCAATACAACTTTATGTATAAAACAAGAGACTGCCTGTGGGTATAGATTGCTGACCTTAACCCATGGTCTAGTAGATAAAAACAATTTATTAGACATATAGGGTACAGTTTCTTATTGAAGAAGGACTTTGTAGCTCAAGAAGGTTTTCCAGAGGAAGCACTTGTAGAAAACCAATGATCTAAAAAGCCACCATCACATCAAATTAATCCAAAAACATAAGGGCAGGAAGTAAGAAATGCAAGCAAATAAATTAAGGAAATAAAAATGTAGCAACACAACAGAGTATAACTGATGAAAATATTGGTTCCTTGAAAAAAAAAAACTCTAAAAAGATGATCCAGAATTTAAAAAGGCCAATAACCAATGTCACAAGTAAAAAAATTGGACAAAACTACAGATTGGGATGTATACTTTGTGTTATTTATAAAATCCATTGCAAAATATCATCTTAAGTCCTTATAAAGTTTTTTACTTCTTAAGTCTTCAAGTGTTTCATGCCAAACATTTTCCTTTTATATACTATTGTTTTGTTTTTAATTGTTGTTTGTTTCTGTTTACACACTACTTTAAAATTTTTTCTTCATGATTCTTTTTGTCTTCTTAAGACTCCAACTCACTATTTACAACAGCATCAAAACCAGTAAGATACTTAGGAATAAATTTAACAAAAGAGATTCAAGATCTTTACACTGACAACTACAAAATTTGATGAAAAATGTTGAAGACAAAAATAAATAGAAAGATGTGTCATAGAGTTAAAGGATTAATATTGTAAAAATGTTCATACTATTTGATGCCATCTATAAAGCTCAATGGAGTCGCTCTCAAAAATCCAAAAAATTAAAAGAATTTTTTTTTCACAGAAATGGAAAAAGCAATTTTAATATTTGTATGGAAATACAGAAGATCCCAGGGTCACAAAGGATACTGACAGAGATGAACACAGCTGAAAGTATATCCCACTTTCTGATTTACAACTATACTACAGAGCTATCAAAACAGTATGGTACTATCATAAACACAGACTCATAATCAAATGGCAGAGAATGAAACTCTATGAAATATGCCCTTGCATGCTTGACATCATTTGACATGGAAACTAAGACCACTCAATGAGAAAAAAAAAATCTCTTCAATAAATATAGGTTGGAAAACTGGATAATACATGCAGCAGAATAAAGTTATCCCTACATGACACCATTCAAAAAAAATAATTCCAATGGATTAAAAACTTAAACCTAAAAACAAAAAAACAGAAGAAAACACAGGGGTAAAACTCCTGAACGTAGGTCTGGACAATGTTTTTTTGAGCTTAACTGCAAAAATACAATAAAAGTGAAAATAAATAAATGGGACTAGAGTAAACAAAGAGTCGCTGAATCACAAAAGAAACAACAACATAAAAAAGCAACCTATGGAAGTGGATAAAATAAGTCATATACATAGGATACAATTTATATCCAAAATATATGAAGAACTCACACTGCTGGGCAAAAATCAATAAACAATTTGGTTAGAAAAAAGGCCTGAGGATCTGAGTAGACTTTTTTCCAAAGAAAATACAGAGATACTCAAGAGGTACATGAAAAGATAGTCTACATCACTAGTCATGAGAGAAATGCAAATCAAAACTAAAATATGGTATCACCTCATACCTGTTAAAATGATTATCATCAGAAAGATGATATAATGATTGTTAGGGAGGATGTGAAGAAAATGGAACCCTGCACACTGTTGGTGGGGATGTAAATTGGTCCAGCCACTATGAACAACAGCACAGTGGTTTCTCAAAAATTAAAAATAGAGCTACCATGTGGTGTAGCAATTTAACTTTTGGGTTTACATCCAAAGGGAATGAAATCGCTACCTCAAAGTGATATATGCAGGTCCAAGTTCCCTAAAACATTATTTACAATAGCCAGGATAGAGAAACAATTTCAGGTCCATGGGCAGGTGAATGTATGTTGAAGATATACGTATGTATACACACTCACAGTGGGGTATTATTCAGCCACAACAAAGAAGAAAATTCTGTCATTTGCCAGAACATGAATAGACCTTTGGACTCTACACTAAGTGAAATAAGTCAGACAGAGAAAGACAGATACTATATGATATCACGTTAAATGTGGAATTTTAAGAAGCCCAATTCCTAGAAACAGAGAGCAGAGTGATGGCTGTCAGTGTCTGGGAGTAGTAAAATAGGAAGATGTTGGTCAAAGGGTACAAACTTCTAGTTATGAGATGAATAAGTTATGGAGGGTAGTGAATATAGTTAACATATTTCTACATACTTGAAAGTCAGTGAGAGAAAGTAGAATTGAAAGTATTCTCACCACAATAAAGTAATGGTAATTATGTGAGGTGACATAGATGTTAGCTAAAGAAATCTGGTGGTAATTGTTTTATAATCTGTAAGTGTATCGAATGACATACTGCACACCTTAAACATTTATACACATTATATCTCAATAAAGCTGATATATAGAAATACCAATACATTTGAGCTTCAGAGAAATACTGCTTTTGTAAAAATACATTTTTCCTACTGAGATTGATATTTTACAGTAAAATTTACTTTGATTGCCATTTAACAATTTATATTCATAAATGCATCTTAATTTAGTTAATTATTTTTTAATTGAAAATAACAATTTAATTCTACTGTTTTATTTAAAATGCAACAGCTCCTTACTATTCCCCAACAATCATTTGGTATAGTAGTAGACTAACCTTAGGCTACTTCAAGATTATATTGTGTATTCTAATAAAAATGCTGATCCTTCTGATATTTAATTATTTGTAAATCAATATAATATACAACATGTAAGACATTGGTCCAGAGTGTATCTTTTCAGTAATGCAAGCAAAATTTTGAATTAATAAAGGCTGAAAAATTCTGTTGCAGAAAACAAAACTAGACTCCAATTGGCTGAGATCTAAGGGATTCTGATTTAGTGAAATGGTATGTACATTCCTTTAGATGAGCCTTACCTCATACACCTCTTTCATCACTTCCAGAAGAGCTTTAGCATTGGGGTAACCCTGCTGGGCTTCAGTTTCGTTTTGCAGTTGAGCGATGATGGCAGTTTTAAGCATCTGTACCAATGTGTTGAGACTAGAGTCTTGCAAAGATGCCCAACACTGCTCTGAGGGTAAACATCAACCGTAAGTATACACCTGCCCAAAACTCTCTGTTCCTGCTGAGTTCTTAAATACAAGAAATTGATCTTTCATTTCAGAGGCAATAACCCATAAAAATACCTTTCCTAAGGATATCATCTTAGATGTTTATTACTCACACATGTTGAAAAAAAACTTTCCCGGTTAAGTATCATTGAAATGAAAAGCTCAAATAAAGATTTCTTCATCTTTATGTTTCATTACTTGACTAATTTAATTATTTTCAAACTGAAAATTCAATATGGTAATACAAATTCTGAAATGTGCACACACACAGACACAACATGTCAAAAAGGACATTTTCAGTTTGTAAAACAAAAAAATAATACTATCCACCTTTCCAGACTGTATGAACACCTAATATATACAGATGTATTTTTAAAATTAGCTCACTAACAGTATTTTGCTACTACTGAGGTTACAAGTTAGAATTTGGTACATTTAAGTGATAATCCTTGAAAATAAAACTATCAAATATTAAAATATATTTGCAAACTAATGTAATTAAAATAGTATGATGCAGATGCATGAAAGATAGATCAATTTAATAGAAATTCCATAAATGAACCCAAATATACAAGTATATATTATATATAATATATACATAAGTATAGATATGTATATATTAATATATACATAAGTATATATTAAAGGTGGCACTGCATATTACTGGGGAATGAAATAGATGATCATTCAATAAATATATGGGTACAATTGGACACTGATCCAGAAAAAAATTAAGCTTCATCAAGATTAACTCCATATATGTCAAGATTTAAACATAAAATGAAAGAGTGAACATATTCTAATAAGAACATGGGAAAAAGTTTTTAAATTTCAGAGTGAGGTAAACTATTCCATGTATGACCTAAATTCACAAACCATGAAAGAAAATGTTAATACAGTGTATGCATAAAATAGTTATGATGGGGGAAAAAATCACAAGGTAAAAAAAAGTTAATAACCCAGAGAAAAAATTGCTACTTATATTAATGATAAAGGATTAATTGTCTTTGTAACTTAAATGCTCCTAGGTGAAAAAGAAAGATATTAACAACAATTGGAAAAATGGGTAGAAATGACCTGATAGTTCTTAGAATGCATTCCACAAATGCAACTAAGGTATATGAGTATCAGAGCAATCTCATTCACCATGAGGAAATTCAAATTAAGAGGTTTTTTTTTTTTTTTACCAGAAGGCCACAGTGTAATAACACTGTTGTACATTGCCCAAGTCTAAGGGCACACTTTACTTTGAACTAAATTGAGTGGTAACCACTTAAAGTTGACAACATGGTGATCATGGTTTCTATGGAAGGTCATTTGGCAAAATCACTCAAACTTAAAAATGTACAAATGATTTCACCCAGTAATTATTGTCTTCTGGTGTTTGCCTGCTTTGTAAATTTATATATGTATAAAGAAATACATGTTAGCACTGCAATAATAGCAGAAGTTTAAAGGAGCTATTCATAGTATATTCTAGCACTAGAATATCATTCAGCCATTAAATAGAAGACGCAATTCAGAAGATGCTGTAACAGAACCATCTCCATGATATACTGCTAAATGGGAAAAATCAAGTTGCCAAAGAATAAAATTCTGTTAAAAAATAAAAATTCTGTTTTTTTAAAATATATACAATATCTTTCAAAAGTTACACAAGAAACTACATTCTGTAACTTCTTTCTGAGAGGGGAGTTGGATGATTTCTATTTCACTGTATATATTCTCTTTTACCTTTTAATATTGGTCTTTAACATTAGCTTAAAATTATAAAAGTAAGATCCATAGCATTAAATAAATTAAAAAAGTACACAAAGTAACATTGTTTTTTTATCACCCATGGTCAAAATGTCTAACATTTTAAAATAACATGAACAGAAAGTTTTAAATTCTAGATTTATCTTGCCTGGATGCTCTCTAGTTCTCAACCTGCTGCCAAAGCTACATCCCAGACTGAGAATTACATGTGCTTTGTAAGGCAATGGGAATAACTATAAAAGTGTTGGTTAATCTTTTCAACAATTCACATACCACATACTCAAACATTTGTGTGTTTTGAAATCTACTCAGAGTTTGTAACAACTTCTACTTTAGACAATAACTCAATTGAGAACACAGATAATGAGACATAAAAGTAATCAAACTTACTTAGGACTAGCAAAGATTGGCTACTCATTTTACAAACAGCCTTTGCAAATGGAACTACCAGCCTCTTCCAGTTACTAGAATCATGCAGCACAGGACATTCTGGGAGCAGAAGGAAAACTGATAATGCTTCTTGGTGTGGAGAACGACATGGAAGATCTGTCTGCAGAGCTTTCTGGAGACATGTAGTTATCTGCAGTTGAAATAGGACCAGGGAAAGACCCAGGAAATGTTAGCTCCAGAACACAGTGACAAACAAGTGGGATTAGGGGTACATTCTAGCACATTTCATTTGGAATAATCTTTTAGTTTCCCTGAAACTTACTCAAACTGCATGACTTCTATTTCCCATCCTCTCTACATTGGGCTGCATGAAGGGAATAAAAGAATCACATGTGCGCCGACATGCTGATGAATTGTGGATGTTGCTTAACTAGAAATTGACAGATCAGGGATCTACACCCAGATATCTCTGACCCAAAATCCACCATGGCAGAGAAAATGCCACCTGTCCCCCTCAGCTATCCAGGTTTCTTTTTCTCCTGAGACTTCGGAAGACTACCTGGCCTCCCAAGCTATGGGGTGGGGCCATATGACTTCGGGCTAAAGGAACGTGACAAAGCTGATGCATGATACGTCCAGGAATGGCTGATAAAACTTCCCATGACCTGCCATGTTCTCTTTTATCCTCGTTGCCAACCAAACACACAAAAAATCTGCTGGAGGATCTTATGACCCCAGGGCTCAGAACTCCAGAAAGGAGCCATAGCTACCCCCCACGGAAGCGTTGCAGAGGTGGGATGGGGAACTGAACATGCCACCCCAAATGCCACTCTTACATGAGGCTTACTTTGCTTTCTCATAGTTTGCTGTCCCTGGAAGCTCAAAATTCCTTTTCTTTGTCTTGGCACTTCTCCACAAAATAACTCTTCTTTGCCAAGTCCGTGTTCTCTAAGTTACTCATGACTGAGTGCAAGTGTATGAAGGGTGCACATGTTAATCCTCAGTTTCTTTTTCTCCTATTAAATTGTCTCTTCTCAATCTGATTTGCAGGGCACAGTCAATGAGACTAATAGGTAAAGGAAAAATAATTTTTTCTTCTTCTACTGGGGTCTCCTATCTCCATCCCTCATTAGACTATGGTATGGGAAAGAAATCTATTTCTGCAAGATCTGGAAGTGGTTATAACAGCTGGCATTATTTATTCTGTCTGAAATATCTGAGATACTCCTAACTGAGGTGTCTGATCCACATAAGAGTAGGATGATATATGCAACAGCCAAATTGGAAAATGGTTGCTATTTTGTTCATGTTTTCATAATTTGTTTCTTCATATCTCCAGAAGAACATGATTTCTGTGGAAAGCTAGTAGATATATTAGGGGGCAATAGTATCACAAAGTCAAATACATTTGAGAAAAAGAGGATCAAAAAACTGGATTTCTTTTGGTGGATGACATCATAGAATCTTTCATTACTAATGTACATCATGACTCAATGTTGCCAAAGTTGTTTCACTAAGAGCCTTTTCTCATGGATCATTCTATGAAACTAAAGTCCCTTGAAATGTGCACTGCCATATCAGCTAAATAAAATTATTTTGAAAATACACCTGAAAGCATTTATTCCCTCTTTAAAATATAAGTGTAATATCTACTGTATATTAAGGAACCCTCTTTCTCTTTCCTTTCCAACTATAGGAACTCACTCAGGCCCACCAAAATGATATAAAGATGACTTCAAGCTGAAGACATCTGAGATACAGATGATGGATAAAGAAGCCTCAGAGCTTCCCTTATCTGACTAGATGCAGAACCCCCAAGAGTGAAGCAGCCATAACTTCTTTTGCAGGCAGGTGGGCTTCACTGCCAGGAAGATTTGGATGAGAATTTGCATAAATGAACATAATCACAAGGTGTAACTCTTCCATCTCCTTAAGAGTTAATCAGTCTAACCTAGAAGTCCCAATTGTTTTCCCAAAGAAGTTCTTTCTCCTCCTTCCTTTTTCCCTATTAAATTGTTATAAAACAACAACAACAACCAAAAAACTCTTATCCCTGACTTTTCAAAGCACCTTTTCATCTGAATGCTCCCATAAGCATTTAATTTGTAATAGTGTGGTCCTCAGGAAAAAGGGAGGTGCCAGGTTCCCAGCCCCACCCAAAGGAGGGTGGAGCTGAGCAGGGAGGAGTAGAAGATGGAGACTGAGGAAGGAAGAAGGAAGGATGGACAGCCAGAAAGAATGCAAGAAGAAGCACATGGAGCAGAGAGATATGTGAAGAAGCTGCACTTGCTTCTTGGTTTTTGACTGGTTGAAACAGATGTGGGTGAGGATCCATGGAGAGGTTCAAAATGGCAGCTTTTATCTTGATTTTGATGTTGCTCTTTTTCTTCTAGACTTGTCTGGCTGTTTCTGCCACTTTCTGATGAGTCCCCACCAGGAGGTGCCCTAGACTTTGGGAGGCTTTTGGGCTCAGTGGTCCCAGCTTTGGGCCAACCCTGATTGGCTGAGCATTTACCCATGAGGGGATGGGGAACTTCAGGTGCTTGATTTGAAAACTATTTTCTTTGTCTTTTCTGTACTGTCCACTAATGGTATTCCATTCCATTAATGGTCTCACTTACTAGAGTATGTTTTGTCTTGATGCGGCAGATGGCAGATTGGGCAGGTTTGGGGGTCCTGGGGTGCCCCTCACCATGCCCTGTAACAGAATAAAAATTTATTGACCTTTGTCTATGATCTATTTTCCAGTCTCCTGCCTATTAGTAAATCAGTGAAAGTAAATTTGTACATGGATAAATAAATTGGAATGGGGAAAGTTTTATTCCCAATACAACCCAGAATCACAAAATACTAAACTGCAATAGAACTTAAAAACAACTTAGCGAAGTGGAAAATGACCAGGGGACTTGAAGGCCAGGCTCTGTTACACGAAAGAACCACATACTGCCTTTATATAAACCCTTGCCCTGCCAACCCTGATACCTGTTCAGTTGAGTTCTCCTGTACCAAACTGTACCATTTCCACATGCTTTTCTGTCCAAGCTCTATAAAAAAACTCATAACTACTGTTACTCGGGTTCAGTCCTTTGGGAATTACCCACTGAGTTCCTAAATCAAGCACCCGAAGTTACCCATCCCTCATGGCTAAAAGTCCACCCGAACAGGATTGGCCCAGAGCAAGGCCTGAAAGCCTGCCATGAGTTTAAAGACCCTTCTGGCAGAGACCCAGGGAAAAGGGTCAGAAACAGCCAGACAAGTCTGGGAAGAAAAGAGCAAAATCAGGGCCTCCCTGGTGGCGCAGGCAGTTGAGCACTGTGCTGTGAAGCTGTCTGAAGCCTCTGCAGTGCCGGTTCGATCCCTGCTGGCTTTGGAGCAACCCATATGGTGAGCAGACCTCTCTTGTCCTGCTGCTGCTCCCCTCAGCAGTGTAATTCATCAATCTGCCTGTTCTGTTCCCTGCTCTGTCTCTGGTGAATCCTCTCACCTTCCCACACATCTGGCCTGTACCCCAGCTCTTGTATAAATAAAATAAATCTTTAAAAAAATAAAAATAAAAATAAAAGCTGCCATTGTCACCCCCCATGGGTCTCTCACCCACAGCTGTTCACCCAGTCCAGGACCAAAAGGCAAGCACAGCTTGCCTTCACATGTCTCTCTGCTCCATGTGCCTCCTGCAGGTCTCCTTCTTGCTCTCCATCCTGCTTCATTCCTTCTCCAGTCTCTTCTCCAGCTTCTCCTTCCTGCTCAGCTCCACCCTCCTTTGGGTGGAGCAGGGAACCAGGAACCTCCTCTTCACCTGGAGATCACCCTGTTACATACTGAAGAGGAAAGAATAGAAAATCTAAAGGAGGCATCACGAAACTAAAACCTGACTCACCCAAGGAGGTGGGGGTAGAGGGGATTAACAAGACCATAAACCCAGCTATAGAAATCAAGATCCTTAGGCCCTAGTGCCTTATCACAGGGCCTAAGACCCAAGTAGGTATCAGACTCCTATGGGGAATGTCTGGAGCACAGATCTGAAGGTAAAGATATGGAGATTGGGCCCATAGTGGAATCTCTGGTCTCTTTCTGATTCTGCAGAGCTGTCCAAAATCAGCAACAATCTCACCACTCACAAACATGAGCCCCTCCCTACCAAAGGAAAAGGATAAACCTAACACTTCCCCCACAAAGGGGCAGCCCATCGGCCCACCTGTGTCTATGCAAGTGTCCTTTATTCTTCTGTCCCCTTTCCCAACGAACCTGTTCTTTAAATATAACTAACGTCTCTGTCTCATGGAGAAACTCACCTGGGAAACTTGCCCCATGCTGCTGAAAGGGGAGCTCTGGTGAAACCTTTCCCAGAATGAACCCAAGGACCCCGCACTCCAAACTCATCAATTCCAAACAAAACAGCCTCACTACCTTTAAGTGCTCAAGAATAAAATAAATGCCATCACTTAATACAGCCTCTGGATGTAAACCTCACAATGAAAACTAACTACCCTATCTCAGTTTCCTCTCAGCTACCAACAGAATTCAACTGCAATTATATTGGTTCCTGTAAACAAATTATATTGCTCTATTTTTTTTTTTAGTAAATATTGCCTATTACCAGGGAAGAAATCCATGTCTTTTTTGTTAACTTCTCAAAGGTATCTCTTGCCATTTCCAAGTCCACATCAATGGAAAGTGATTCTCCAGATCCTCTTTGGATACAAGAAATGCAAAAATTACATGAACAAATGTGGAGGAATATATCTGAAAATATATCATTATTTATTACTTTATTACATATCAGATGCAAACGTTCTTGAAGTTTGCCTCCTTTCAACATAATTTATTGGCATAAAAATTTTACACGCTCTTCTAAAAGAAGGTAGGTAATGAAATAAAAGAACGTTGTTAACAGCCTATTATCTCTAGGTAAGTTTAGGCAGCTATAATAGTAAAATTTTATATGCTGAGATTTGAATCCATTTTCCCTCATCACCTGCGCTGAGAATGAAACTACCTACCCACCCCTTGCCTTCCCGGGGACATTTGCATTACTTTGGATATCCACTGTTTTACTAGCATTACTTTCCTTTTCCAAGAAGTCAGGAAAGTGGTTTATTGTTCATTATAGGGACTTCTGAAAAAACCCTTTAACTTTTTAAAAAACATTTATTTTTACAAGAAGTGGGGTACAGGCCAGAGGTGTGGAGAGTGACAAATTCACCAGAGACAGAGCGGGGAGCAGACGAGGTAGATGGACTAAAAACACTGCTGAGGGGACCAGAGGGCAAGACAGAAGAGGTCTGCCACACCATGTGGGTATCCCCATGCTGGGAAGCAAAACTGTGCTGCAGAGGCTGCGTACACTTCACTGCACTGCGCTCAACCCACTGCGCCACCAGGGAGGCCCAATCCTTTAACTTTTTAATAGAAGCATCAACAGACATTCTATGCCCTAAGGTCATCTGAATCTTCGGCCAAGAATCCTGCTTTGCTATTTCCCTCCTCCTGGATGGTTGCATTTTCCCTCCCATCCTAATCAAGCCCTCAGCCTCCCCATCCCACATTAAAGGCTTGGCATTTCCCTCAGAAACATGACCAAGATCCCTCTAGGTCTGATGCTCCTCTGGGTTGTGTTGGTGATATATGAGAAGCCTATATATAATCTACTTACCAGTTTGCTGGATTAATGGATCAATTGTAATATTAGGTCTAAAACACTTAAGCAGGCACCGAAACAAAGTACTGCAAAATTCTCCTTACATTTATTTTCCTTTATAGACTTTGCCATTTTAAGTCCAAATCTTGAGGTTCAACTCTCATGGGAGGGAGGCACGGACACTATATTTTTGAAAGATCAGCCTTAGTATAGAAAAGTTTTGTCTACAGGCAATAAGGATTACACTGAAGCTATAGAAGAGAAAAACCAGGACACTTTGTATAATAGTCCTTCCCTTCCAGGCTGAAGCATATCTAGAAGAGGAAGGAAAATAGTTGAGAAAGCAGGAAGAGGACACAAGTGTCATGCTTTCACTCTGCCTTTGACCTTTGGCCAAACACACAGCCTTGTGAGCAGCCAGAGGGAAGCCATGCCATTGAACTTTGCTAGGCTTCTCCAGTTCCTAGGGGAGGATGTTGAAACTACAGTTCTCCAGTACCACAGAAGGGTGACTGAGACTACAGCCAGGTTAAGAATCAAAGGAGGGCCTCCCCGGTGGCACAGTGGGTTGAGCACAGGGCAGCGAAGCTGTCAGCAGCCTGTGCTACACAGGATCGATTCCAGACCAGCCAGGGAGGTACCCACATGGTGCAGCAGACCTCTCCTGTCTCGCCCGCTGCTCCCCTCAGCAGTGCTTTTGGTCTGTCTGCGTGTTCTGTTCCCTGCCCTGTCTCTGGTGAATCCTCTCACCCTCCCATGCCTCTGGCCTGTACTCCAGCTCTTGTATAAATAAATAAATGTGCTACTTGGATTCTGTGGGAGCAAGGAATACCTGCAAGTGGGAGTTAACTTACAGCCACCTAGTGGTCAGGAATGGTATGATATATAGAAAACGACCAAACCAGTGAGCCATCTTGAAGACAAATTAACAAGGAAGTAGCGGGGACCTGATATGGCTGATGTCCACCTGAATGAATTACACCAGCTAGGGACAGATCAGCAGAGACCCAGCCCATGGAGGAAGCAGAGGAATACTTAAGAGCCCCTTTATGCTGGTATTTCTCCTTCTCCTCCCTTATGAACTGTTAAATTAATTAAACAAGGAGGTAATTACACTGAGATCATTCTAATGCAGTGGTACCTGCCTAAACAAGCCCAAGTCTAAGTCTGTAATGCCTCTAAGTTAATCGAAAACTAAGACAACCAGTCATAAACAGCCAACTAGCTTCAAGCAATAGTCAATCAAAAGCTTTACTTACTTTGCTTCTGTATCTTCTTTATGGAAGTCTTTCCCCCAGATTCCGTAGGGGAGTTTCCCCAAACCACTCCAGGTTTGGCTCTGTCCATTGCAATGATGTTTGCTCAGATAAACTATTAAATTTTTTAGTATGCCTAAGTTATCACCTTATACTTACCAACACAGTATTGGGTACCATAGCGGGAGGGGGTGAAATGGAAGATCAAATGTTGAGCATTTCACAAAAGAGTTGTTTAAGGTACTGAATCAGACCAAATGTCAAATGAAATATGAGAGAAATTAGACTTTCCTCTATAGAGATGAAACTAGTGAAGGATAAAAGGATTTGATTTCCTATTGGTTCCACTACAATAAACTGCAAAATGCAACCTTGGCCTCTCACTATTAACACAATGTTAGAATGAACTGATCACTGAAAGCTGAAAAACCACCAGTCCTCCCTGTCTGATAATAGAGGTGGGCAGGGCAGAAAAGTAAACAATGTAAATTAGGAATTACAATTTACCATGAATGGTCTAGTAGAAAATTACAAAATGGAAGAATTCTGTAACAACTAATGCAGTTACATGTTGTACTTTTTTTCCAAGTGAACAATTCACAATTAAAAAGACTGAGTCAAAACATTTCATTTTAAATATTCCCCAGTTTAAAAGAATGTAAACCTTCTGTGAACATTACCTTTTCTTTAAAAAACTTGCAGTCAGACAAGCAGGAGATGAAAATATTGTTCTAATTTCACTGTGAAGGTAATATCAAGAATTGAGTCACAACATACTATATAACATGCATCCTTTTGTCTAGTGTCTGAATTCAAGTATCCAACCCAAGTATAGCAGATTAGGGGGAATCATTATTAGTGAAAATAGCTACTCTCCTAAGTTTCCCAAATTCTGGGTATGTTTTGTATGTTACTGCTAAGTCTCACTCAAACCCTGCTAGGTGACTTGATCGAGACATGTAGGTTGAAATGAAATGCATCCTTCTGAAAACATGAACTCATAGAGTCCCAGAAAATAGGCTGAAAATATTAAAACTGTCTTCCTTACTGAAGACTTTGCAAGACAGAAAGCATCTCTGACTCCTTCATCTCCCTCGCCTGTCAAGGTGCCTGGAATGTTGTATCTCTTCAATCTACCTCTGTGAAATGAACGATGACTGAATAAATACAACAAAGACTTCTTCACACTAAGAGGTGGTAGAAGAGCATCACGGTTAAAAGGCAAGCGCCTTCATAACAAAACCAAACCCTCTTTCTTATATCAAGGTTAAAAAAGACCAAGACTTCAGAAACAAATTGAAGTGGTTTATATCAGACAGAGTCACCTCTCAGCTTCTTTTTCTTCAGCTATGTTTCTCACTGCTATCCATTTCTCTGTCAGAGACTGGTTAATTCGGCTTATTTCAGCCAGGGTTTTCTTGGAAACATCTGTGGAACATTCCTTCAAAAGACAAAAAGAGTGATCCGGAAAACACACACACACACACACACACACACACATTCATACGTGAGCGCCGGGCAATAACCCAGTAAAGCTAATGGCAGAGGCAGAATACAAGCCCCTCTCGCTCAGATAGTGACTTTTGTCAGGAGGAACTTTGGTAACAGACTGGACCAGCTATCCAATTCCCAGACTGACCACTTGTTCAGAATCTTACTTTTATCACTTAAAAAATGGAATAACAGAGAAAAATTAAAAACAAGGACTTAAACAGGTAATGATATGCAAACATTCATTACAGCATTGTTCACAATAGCCAAGAAGACAGAAACAACCCAAGTATCCACCAATAGCATCAACAGATGACTGTGGAAGTATTTGTGGAATACAGTGGCATGTTATTCAGTGACAAAAGGAAGGAAATTCTGATAGATACTGCAACATGAATGAACTTTAAAAACACTACGCTAAGTAAAATAAGCCAGATAAAAGATGACAGATATTATATGGATTCTACTCCATAAAATATATAGAATAGGCAAATTCATAAATAGAAAGTATAAGATATTGGATGGGCTGGGGTATTTATTTAATGGCTATAGAATTTTGTTTGGGGTCATAAAATTTGGGGAAAGGATAGTGGTGATACTTATACAACTTTTGAATATAACTAATAGCACTAAATTGTACACTTAAAATAGCAAATTTTGTAATTAATATGCATTTTTTCCCAACTGTAATAAAAAATAGGCAAACAATACCTAGATTTTTGGGCCCCTGTTAACAGTAAACGTTACTAGTTATAAAAAGTCTATGGGATTATGGTAGGTAGTGTTCAATAAACATTTGTTCTTTTTTTCCCTGTCAGTCATCCACACACTTTTACTTTATATCAATAGTTCTTAAACTTGACCATGCATTAGAATCATCCAGCACTATCATTAAAGCAGACATTGCTGGACCCATCCCTATATTTTTGGAATCAACTGGTCAAGGGTAGAGCTCAAGAATTTGTATCTAATAAATTCCTGGGACATGCTAGTTCTACTGGTTCAGGGACCCCTGAGAACCATGATTCTATACAATTGTGATAACTCTGTTTTAATTAGGTGAGGAGGCTAGAAAGAGACTGCACGTTCCTGCGCAAAATCCACAAACTACAGGTCCCAGTATGCCTTGCATCTCCTACTCTTTTTCCTCTAATGGAACTTGGAAGGGGAGGGGGGCTCTCCAGAGGTAATATAAGGAATTTTTAGACTTGGATTTGAGGAAGCTCATGCATATCTTAGTTGTATACAAATAACAGAAGAGAGAGCAGATAGGATCCAATTTGTTGTCAAAATAACTAATTATTGTTGTTTAAAACCAGCACAATACTTCAAACCAAATAGCTCAGTCAGAGATGTCAAATCACTGTGTGGAAGAAAAAAATCTGTCTTTAATATAGTCCTCTAAAGATTTCCGTGCTCTGCTACATATTATATCCCTCTGTCTCCACTGAACTTGTGATGAGTCAGGAAATTCTGGATCATTTTCATTTAATACTTAAATAACTACGTCTTTAAGATGCATAACCATGATTCCTAAGGTCTCCTTCTATGATCAGTCCTTGATGTGCCCTGCAGTTCCATCATTAGGAAGCTTATTTTCCCTCTACATCCCAGGAAACTTAGGACAATGGGGTGATTCCTATTCACACGTACACTCCATTTCTTCTACTTTCTTCTTCAAAATCCCAGCTCCTTGAAGTCCACAACAGACTCTGTCACCTCTCCCTTCTATAACATCTCCCAATGTGTCAGCCATTTCCATTCATTGAAAACTTTAGTACCTCTGAAGGTCTTCCTTGGCACCACCAGGCCTATTATTCTTCCTCTCATTCTTGGCAACTTCAAAATTGATGAACACGATATATCTCCCACCTTGATCTCTCAAGTCTTGATCTCCTTCCACTCTTTGCCACTGCTGCACCCAACCTCCCACACCCTAGATCAGAGTTTCTAAACTGAAACTATTGACATTTTGAGTCAGATCATTTTGTGCGGCAGGTAGTCTTGCATTGCAGAATGCTTAGCATTCTGTACTTCATCATCATCAAAAATTGTTCTACACCTTCTTAATTTCTATTGGAAACTCTCTTCTCTCTGATCATTATACACCATAATTTTGATAACTTTAGATTATAACCCAAGGCCAGCATTCTTTGCTGCTTTGGGAGCTCCAATTTTTTGTATTTTTTGCAAGCTCCTGTGTATTTTTTGCAAGAAGATGATGAATTTGGGGGAGGAGCCTGGGGTGAATGTTATAATGTTATGGCCTGAATGTTTATGTTCCCTCAAGTTGAAATGTTGAAATCCTAACCCCCTGTGATGTATTAATAGATGGGTCTTTGAGGGGCTATCAGGTCATGAGGGTGGAGACTTCAAGAATGCAGCTAGGACTCTTACAAGAGACCTCAGATTTGGGGGTTTATAAGGTTAAACGTTCAGTCTCTTTCTTACCTGGCAGACAGGGATGGAACATTTTAAACAGAGTAGGGGAATTGAAGAGTTACCACAGGAAAGGGGTCCTCAGACCTTCCCCAGATAAGGGAGCCAAATGACTGTTACTTAAACAGGGACCACCCAGCCTGCCCATGGCCGCAAAAGACAGATGTGTAGGCTGAGGGATGCTGGGACTAACGTGGCCTGACACTCTAGGGGGGATAACCAGCACATACCTGTGTCCTAAATGTTAGAAATCCCGTGAGTTCAGGGTATAAAGGAAGGCAGCAAGTCCTCCCAGCATGCAGACACTTTCATCTCTCACCCCCTGCATCCTTTTGCAGGGAAATTCAATGAATTCACCTTTCCTACTTTTCATACTGCCTCTGGTGAACTCTTTCACCCCTGTGACCACAGCGTCCCTTCACTGCCATTTTCTCTTCCCAAGGCACCCGAGAGATCTCTTAACTCTTCTGTTCCATGAGAACACAGGGAGAAGAAAGTCATCTACAAAGGAGCAAGCAGGCCCTCTCCAGACATCCAATGTACTGGTGCCTTGATGCTGGACTTCCTGGCCTCCAGAATTGTGAGAAATTTCAGTGGTGTGTAAGCTACCCATTTATGGTGTTTTGTTAAAGCAGCCTGAACAGACTAAGCCACTTAGTTTAGGTGAGAACCCAGTCTTTGAGGACATTGGGATTCCCAATCCATTCATCCTATTGTCAGTTCAGGATCCATTACCCTCCTCTTCTCTTCCTGACCCAGCACAGTCAATACTATAACTGGGCCCTTACAAACACTCATAATTCTGTTGTCTCTTTCTTATTGTGTATACCTCACAAAAGTCCAATGGATTATGCCAAAATTAGATGAAAGTTTAACATCACTGGAGAAAATCACACCACTCTGCTGACTGATTTCCCTTGAAGACTATCACCACAAATTTCAAGTGGGCACTCCACAATGTCTAGGACTGTCCCACTCTTGCTTCTTCCTACACTGAGACAACTATTTACTGCCATGTGTATACTGTGGTCCTGACATCCCCCTGATTCACATGTTAAATAAGGGTTTGAATCTCCTCTCCAAGAACTTCTCAAATTACCCCCCTCAGATACCTGGCTCCACTTCATGTACCTCTTCATCCATTCCTACTAAACTTTTCCCTCTGCCCCTCACATGTGCTGCACTTATTCTTGCCCCAGGGCCTGTCATTGTGCTGATTCTCTCTGCCTGGAGTGCCCTTTCTCTGTATTGGTTTGTGGCTAAGATGTCTGCCCTAAGGCCACAGCCTTTGCAAAGCCTTCTCGGACTGACCTTTCTAAATATGTCCACCTCATCCATCTCAAAAGGACCATTTGGTTTTCTTTAGAGCACCTGTCACTGCCTGACATAGCTGATTACATTTCTATGTGCATGTTACTGTGAAGGACAGGCTTTTCCCAAAAGTCCAGACTGGACTGTGACACGAAGATGTTACTTTGACATGTGAATTATTTCAAACTGAGGTCAGTTGGGGCCCTGCAGATTCACAAGACACCTTTACCACTCCTTATATTACCTGGGATAATAAAAGCTGGGGGCATTGCCAGATGTAGGCTTTTTCCCAGAAATAAACTTTCTACTGGTAAAAACTATCTTTCACGGGACAAAAGTCTAATACAGAAATCATGCAAGTCTCCCTTCTCTCTACTTGAAGTCCAGGCTTCTATCCCATTTCTTAGTGCAGGATAAGTACACTTATTTTACCCCATTTACTTTACAGTCTAAATCTACTTCCATGTAGATTCTTCATACATATGCAATTAAATTTGTTCTTTTCTCCTACTAATCTGTCTGATGTGAATTTGATTGCTTATCCAGCCCAAGAAGAAGACAGAAGGGGAGGGGAAATTTCTTTCCTGCACCTATGGTTGTGTGTCCTTCCCTGTGGAATTCAAACACCATGAACGAGTGCACTCTCCTCTGCATTGTTCTCTTCATCCAAACACCAAGACAGAAGCCTGAGATATAGGAGGCATTTATAAACTGGCTAATTGAATAGTTACGATAGAGCAACCAAGTACAATCTCCTGACTACCTCCAGCAGCACAGAAACCATTGCCAATGACCATTTTCGGTGCCAGGAAGTATGGTGACAGTCTATATGGATGTCAAGTTTAAAACATTCCTGATAGTAGAAAGAAATGCAAATTAGGAAAATAACTGTCTATGTTTTTGTCTCCCTATGAGCATTTTAGAACTCACCCAGAAATATAATAATGGCATCTCTGATAACAGTCAGGAAAGTATTGAGAAATACGTCAACAAGAGAAAGACAAATGTCATATAATTTCACTCATACCTGAAATATAGGGAAACAGAACAGAGAGAAAAATACTGAACCAAATGAACCCTAGAAATCTGACTGTAGAACTGAAGTTACCAGAAGGGGAAGAGCAAAAGTAAAGAGCAAAGGGAGAGGGAATCCAGAGGGCTATGGCAGGGGGTTGGAGGCCTGTTGGAGTGGTCACATACCTCTGAAGAAGTGTGAACCTATATCCCCAAATCATTACAGTATTGTAAACCAATGTGACCTCAATTAAAAAAAAATGTTACAGAAAAAACGAACAATTAGGAAAGTATTACGGCACTTGGGGTGATGCTTTCTTTCAATTTTGGAGGTGGATTATTCTAGTTTGTATCCAGAATCTTAGCAGTGCCACTTTGGGTAATGTTTTTAATGTTCATTCATGTTGTAGTAGTATCTATCAGAATTTGCTTCCTTTTGTAACTGAATAACACATGAAAAACCCAGTTGTTCATTATGAAAGGGAGACTATCATAGCAACTGAAATTGATATAAAGATTAATGAAGTGATTTGGTGCCTAACACACAGTCCTACTATTAACATTAATTATTACTGTAAAAATCATTGTTAATAATTTTACTTAATAATAAAAAATAGTTAAAAAGAAGTGAATTTAGGGTTGGGGGGATCTAATCTTAGGCAGCCAAGTGAGGAAGTGCATATTATTGTACATAATGTTTTTCAAAAAATATTCCAACAGAGGATCTAATTACTTTAGTTAGAACTTTGACTATCTTAATATTATTTTTAAGGGAAACAAAAAGTGTAATAGATACCTGATGAGTTGTCACAAAGTTGGCATATGTTCCAGCAAAAATGTGTTTGACTTGACCACCTGCCAGATCTAAAAGACAGTCATAAATACATGTGTACATAAATACTCTTTTTATAAGTAAAAAAAATCTTCAGTTAACATAAAACTGCTTTAAAAAAATTAAGTCTTAAAAATATCTGATATTTCCTAGCTAAATTTACTTATTTATTAGAAATTTATATCCTTGTAATGGATTTTGACTAAAAATGGCATAACGTTATCAGATTATATTCCATATGTCCACTTAGTTAGACAGTATTTTTTTCACCCACTTGCATAATGAAACCAGGTTGCTGTACTTTAGAAGAGGTTCGATTTATTATATAGTCGCGACCTTTTCGGATGCCTAAATAACCAATTAAAGATCTTCTTTTGCATTATGTTGATTTTTAGCAATGATTACCTAACACTCCAGAAATGATTGCATAAGAAATAGTGCACAATATACAAATTTAAAATAAAAGCACTAAAAGAAGCACATTTCTATAGGTTTCTTTGAAAGGAAACTGAGTAATATTTTTTCTCCAGTGGCATCACAAACACAAAGTCATGACTGAGTGGGACCACACGTACCATGAGGAGAAATCAGGCAGCTAATGTCAGAGTTTTCTGTTGGGGTCTCTGAACGAGTTGGTTTCCTGGTGCGATTGGGTCCACGACCAAAAGATAGCACTTGACCAGTGGTGTAGACATATGCAAGGGTGTGAAAACTTCAGGAAGGAAGAAATACAACAATGAAGACCTAAGATACTCTGCTTTGAGAAAATGAGATAACTTAACACAAAATAACAGATTTATCTTATACTAAGGGTACCGATCCCTTATCACTATGTCAGGGTTAGAGGGAATCAAATTATGTGGCTAAACAGATGGAAGGTATTAACATCTAACAACCCCAAAATCTTAAAGCTAGAATGGATCTTTATCATGGTTTCTGTCATTTGTGTTTTAAAAAGCAAGCACATCTGAGTTTTTTAAATCAATTGGGTTGATAATACTCAAAGTAAGTGATTAAATACATAAGTTACATAAAAGTCTATGTAGGTATACAAATATACAACAACCTCTATTTGCATGAGATTATTTTGTCTTATCAACTTAACTAGATAAGCACCACCACTTTTGTTATAAATCTACTACTCCCCACTGTCAATATCTTCTATACACAATAGGCTTCCAATAAATTCTTTTTAAAAAAATTTTTTTAAAGATTTATTTATGCAAACAAGAACTGGGGTCTAGGCCAGAGGTGTGGGAGGTGAGAGAATTCACTAGAGACAGAGTGGTGAAGCAGAACAGGCAGATCTACTGAAATTCACTGCTGAGGGGAGCGGCAGGAGAAACAGGCCAGGTCTCTGCGCCATGTAGGTCAGCTTTCTGGCCCGGAATGATGGCAGGCCATAGTGGCTGGTGATAGCTTGATAGTGCTGAGACTTAACCCCTAAACCACCAGGGAGGCCCTCCAACAAATTCTTATTAGATAAATACAATGTCTAGATTTTAAAAATTTTTAAATGAGAATTAAATTATATTGAAAGAAGTAAATTTACAAAAAGGAAAATGATATAGAAAAACAATAGTTACATATTTTATGGATTTTCGCTTTAGGAACATTCTCATACAGAAAACCATAAAAATACAGCCTGTTACCTTCCACAGTCGATCTGAGAAACAAGCCCATCAATCCCTTCCACAGGTTGTGGACCTCTCTTCTCAGCAGTGCAGCTGCGTCCCAGTTGTCCATAGCTATTGTCTCCAAAGGTGAACATTCTCCCCTTCTGTTTAAAATAGTATGAATCAGAATAACTTCAGGTTAACAAAAGCAAAAATGAACTAAAAATGAAAGGACTAGGTACCATAAAAGAGTTATGAGAGACTAAGTGAAATATAAATTCTACAGAATCTATAGGATAATTCCTATATTTTTTATTTCTTATAGTGAATATAAAGTCAACAGACTAAGCATGAAATATAATAGACATTCTCTTAAGAAGTACTTAAGCTCTTCTAGAAGGGATCATGATCAGCAAAATAAGTCAGAAAGAAAAAGAAAAATACTGGATAGTCTCACTCATAGCAGGAATTTAGAAAACCTAAATAAGAGACCAGGAAAAAGACTAATCAATACAAAGTAAAAATCAAAATCACCAAGCAACTATAAACCAGAGACACACTAGTGGGGGGAGGAAAGGGCAGGAAAAGGAAGGACTAGAGTCAAAATAAGGTGGGGAGTGCAATTGTATGGGGAATATAACCAAAATGAAAACGCATAAATTGTGCAAAGATGAAAAAAAGATGCAAGAATTACATAAAATAAAATATTTAAATAATAATACAAAAAGAAGTACTTAAGCTCTTAACTGCACCACAAATACCTAAGTGTTTGTAGAATGAAATCATGATAAACTAATTGGTCCAAGGGTAATGGTACCATTTAAGTATAGGGTTACTTTCTTGATTTGCGCATCTCTGAAAATAAGCTCTTTTCAAAAGATGATTCTTCATCAAAATAACTCTAGATTTCTCCTGCCGGCTAAGAATAATGTAATCCATACTTGCTTTAAAAAAAAAAAGCTATTGTTTTAGATACTTAGTTTTTAAATAAATATTTCAGCTACACAAATAGTTATCTCAAGTCTATTCCTGTGGCTAAGGAGAGAATGGATCCCCCTGGAATTTACTGTGCTAGCAGCACAAGAATGGGAGGAAAACTTTGGGGAAGTCAGATCATAAATGTGCCACATGGATATGGAATGATGTATGTTCCCTTCTGTAAAATTGGGCTTCTGAAACCAGTAAAAATGACCTTGTTGCCTCTATCGTAATTTTCATCTATAGAAATACATCATGAATGAATAAATAATCGCTGAAAGGATTAAACATATTCTAATTTAGTAGGTATATGAAAATATTTCCTGAACCCATCATTAGCTTTTGTTATATGACCTTGAAAATTTCATAGTTTATATGGGGTTCATTTCTCCTCAGGAAGTATTTGCCCGTAGACTAGCTGCCTTGAGATACTGACACATGTCTTGTTCTCAATAGTAATCAGTGCTTATTCCTGTTAACTTTTCTCTGGGATTTAAAAAAAAATGGCGAGGCATCTTGGATTACCTGAGTCAGGACAGCGGTGTGCTCATGACCACAGCTGATGTAAGTCACACAGAGATTCTTCAGTGCATCGATCAAAAGAGTTTTGGGGCTTTGCACTGTAGAAAGCAAACAGATTTCTACAGCACAAGAAGCAGATTCAGATTTCATGAGTTTTTCTATTTTTATACTTTTGTAATATTTTTATACCTTATTAACAGAATTTAAAAGGAAACAATCAGATATATTATAAAATAGAGAGATAACTAGCCCCACTTTTGGAAAGATGAGAAAAACAATCCTTTAGGCCTTTGGGCCTAAACCAATCTTCTGGAAATGACAGAGGCAATTGCCCTAGACTTTAAGACCCTCATTCAATAATATCGGCATCATATTGCATTCATTTATGTCACATGGTAGGTGTTTTGCAAATTTGTAGTAAGTGAGAAAATAAAAGACCCACTTAATATTGATAGAGTTAAATGAAAGGAGATCTAAATGCTCAGCATAGTGTGGTAGACAACGACTGGTAAATATATGTTAATTAAATCTAGAGAATTCAGTTGAAGTCAGGGGTTCAGGGGAAGAATTCATAGTAGTTTTGTTTTCAAGGTCATTAAAGTTTTGTTTTCAAGGTCAGTTTCCCCTACTGCCAGCAATCTTCTATCCAGTGGTTCCCAAACTTTGCTGCACATTGGAATCACTTGTTGGATGATTAATACTGAGTGATGCCTGCCTTCTGTCTCTAGACATTCTGTTTCATTGGTATGGGTCTGATCTGGGCATTGAAATTTTTAAATGTTCTTATGGCAGATGAATAATGGCCTCCCAAAGGCCTCCTATTGCTGACTTTGAAGAATAAATAGGAATTTAAGTAAAAAATGCAGGCAGTTTTGAGAAACCAGAAAAGACAAGAAAAAAAAAAAAAAAAGGTTTTTCTCCCAGAACCTTGGTTTTAATGTATTGAGACCATAAATGAGACTTCAAGTATCAGAACTAATAGATAATAAATTTGTGTTATTTTGAGCCATTGAGTTTGTGGTAATTTGTTACACAGTGAAAAATATATATATACACACATACCTCCCCCTGCCCCATTTCAGGGGGTGTCTAATGGGTCACTGTAGGGTAAGGAAAAAGTATCAGGCTTTTCTGCCCTCCCGCCATTAGGATAGATGAGGGAACCCTGTGGTCCTGAATGCATGCCTGATGGCGGGCACCTGAAGTGGGTACATCTGGGCTGAGAGACTGAGTTTATAAGGGTGGCGTCAACAGGACGCCAGCAGAAGCCAAAAAACGAACAGAAGGGCAGGGAGAGAGAGAGAGAGAGAGCGCGCGTGTGCGCCCAGATAAGAGTGGAGATTTGCTGGGGGCCGGGAGGACTGCCAGCCTCCTGGCCCCCCAGCACCCCTGCCTGCCATATGCCTGGTAAATCTAGATGAAAGACCTGCAAAAGCCAGTGAGGACTCTGACTCCTCCTTTACCTGGTCTGCTGGATCAGAAAACCTGCTCAGTGCCTTGTTCCTGTCCCTACAGTCATAAAGTTTTGAAACCCTTTCTTCTAAGCTTCAAGGCTGTCCCTTGCACAGCTGGTCTTTCAACTGGAAAGGAATAATGATTTATTACAAGAAAAAGACTTGTTACCTGGGCTTTCATTCCCGTTGAGTTGCCCTGCTTTGTTCCATCCCCATCCAAATGAAGTCCCAGAGACAGAAAGGGCAAAACTGTGGTTCCCTCCGGCAGCTACCTGAGTCATGGGGATCCCCAGTAGGGATTCCACCCTCTTTGGTTTTGCTTGGGGTGGGGACACCTTCCCCAGGCCCAGCTGCCCATAGTTGTTGTTTCCCCATGAAAATACTTGGCCATCTGCACAAAAAAAAAAAAAAAAAGGAAGAGAAATTCACAATGGAACACCAAATTCATGTAGAAAATACCACGCTAATTCTCAAAATCTTTAAAGCATAGCCCAGTGATAAAGGAGGTTAAGGTGTTCTACCTAAAGATAAGGGCGATGCTCAAGATATCACCTTCCACAGTATGTTCCAATAAATCCCACTCTGTCTCCCTCCAAGTTAAGGGCAACTGTTTTCTTTCAGTTGCTCAGACCATAGCCTTGAAACAGAGGACAGAATCAGCAAGTTGGAATAAAGGATAGAAAAACCTCCAAAAAGGCCAGAAAAAGAATTTTAAGAAATGAAAAGACTTAAGAAATGAAAAAACAGCATCAAGAGATCTTCCTCCCAGACACCATCCCCTGAGAAATGTGGAGAGAGGGTAGATGAAGGATGGGGGATGTTAGCAGAAAAAACACTTGATTTTGACATTTTGATTTTCTTTCTCTGACTGAAGTAAAAAAGACAAACAGGTTGTAGGGTAAGGAAAAATGTCAGGCTTTTCTGCCCTCCCACCATCAGGATAGATGACGGAACCCTACAGTCCTGAATGCATGCCTGATGGCGGGCACCTGGAGTAGGGTGTGGGCATAGGTAGATGGGATTCACCTGGGCTGAAACTGTTCTTTTTAAGGGCGGCGTCACGGTGACGCCAGCAGAAGCCGAAAGAGAAGCTGATGAAGAAGCCGAGAAGCAGCAGAACAAACAGAAGAGCAGAGAAGCAGGGAGAAGGCCAGAGAGCCCAGATAGAGTGAGGACTTGCTGGGGGCTGGGAGGACTGCCAGCTTCCCGGCCCCCCAGCACCCCTGCCTGCTGTGTACCAGGTAAATCCCAAAAAAAACCTGCAAAAAACCACTGAGGACTCTGACTCCTCCTCTACCCGGTCTGCATGGGATCAGAAAACCTGCACTGTGCCTGTTCCTGCCCTTACAATTGGCGTAAGTCGGCAAGATGATCCATGCAGATGGGTATGGAGCCCTCGAAAGACCTGGAGGGACTGAGGAGTAACAGACTGTTTCCCTGTGACCGCGCTGGAGGCGTCATGGCGGCACAGGAGGTGGACAAGGTCTGGAAGCAGGATGAGACCTGGCATGAAGGAGATGCCCGAGAGGACCAGCCAACGACCCCTGAGAGGACCAGCCAATGACCCCTGAGGCAGAAAGAATCATCGGCGAAGAGAGGACCACAATTCAGAGTTCGCCGTTGCTGACGCAGGGAGAGGCCAACGGACTTGGACTGATGGACTTGGACTAATGAACTTGGACTGACAATCCCGCCAGAAGGTGGAGGACCTTGCGGGTTGGTATGTTTTGGGACCCTGGGGGTGGAACAGTTTCGTTTGTAAACCCCAGGAGACGGGAATCTGGGGGTGGCCAGTGGGCCTTGGTGGCCAAAAGCAGCCTGTATGCCCAGCAGCCAGGCAGAGGAGAAAAGCCAACTGAGAAGGCAAAAGCTGGTACTGATGCTAAGCCTTGAGCGGCTGTTAAGCAGCCTGAGTATGCTGAAGACCTGTGAGTCTCGTAAAATCACCTGTGGGTGATGCCCTGCTCATTTTTGAGTGAGGGTAAGGAGCTGAGGAACCCGTCCTTGGGGACGGCTGGGGAACGTGGCTTGGGGTGGAGCCCAAGCTGAAGAGGGGACCTGAAAGAGGCCGCATGTAGAGTTTGGATCCCCGACCCATGTGCTTGTGCAGTGGGTTGGCCTGAGTGCAGGGGTCTGTGTGTCGCATTGGTGGCTATGAAGGCCACAGAAACCCTGAGGGTTGCCGATTACCCCCAACAGAATAGAATCGCCAATCCCAGAGCGAGTGCATCCTGGGGGTGGATGCGGTGTGTGGCTTGTAGCCGAGACTACAGCCAGAGAAGGCCAGGAAGCCTGACGGCTCCTGGTGTGATATAGTAGATGCCGTGAGTGATTCCCCTCCCTTGTATGAGCAGTGCCTTCGGCAGCAGATTTCGTGGCTCATCTGCTTGTACCAATAATTGTCTTTTGCACTAGGTTGGGGCCCTGCCTGGACTTATTTGTGTTCCATTGTATTTTGTTGTTATATTGTGATGTATTTGCTTTTGTGGGCCATGGCTGCATTGTTTACGTTTGCTAAGAAAATTGTATATATATAGATTATATGGCAGAAAACCCTGAGGGCGTGGACTGTAGGGTAAGGAAAAATGTCAGGCTTTTCTGCCCTCCCACCATTAGGATAGATGATGGAACCCTGTGGTCCTGAATGCATGCCTGATGGTGGGCACCTGGAGTAGGGTATGGGCATAGGTAGATGGGATTCACCTGGGCTGAGACTGGGCTTTTAAGGTCAGCATCACGGGGACGCCAGCAGAAGCTGAAAGAGAAGCTGAGAAGCAGCAGAATGAACAGAAGAGCAGAGAAGCAGAGAGAACACCAAAGAGCCCTGATAAAGTGAGGACTTGCTGGGAGCTGGGAGGACTGCCAGCCTCCCGGCCCCCCAGCACCCCTGCCTGCTGTATACCGTGTAAATCCCAATAAAAAGCCTGCAAAAAAACCACGTGTACTCTGACTCCTCCTTTACCTGGTCTGCATGGGATCCTAGAAACCCTGCTCAGTGTCCAGTCCTGCCCTTATACAGGTCTTTCTTTCTGTCTGAGTTTGCCAGTGTAGACAAATGATTCAGCATAAAGAGTGAAGTGCTGGAAATAAAGTGATTCTGAGTCAGCAGTAAGGTTAGGTGAACAGAGATGGCCATTTATGGGAGTGAGATAAGAATGAGGCACTACTTAGAGTATACAATGCGAACAAAGGAAAGTGAAAAGGAAAGATGAAGGGCAACACATCTTATCAGATCTGGAGAGTTAAAAACTTCTAATGCATTACAATGAACCCCAATGAGTTAAAAAATCCACAGATAGGGCCTGCCTTGTGGTGAAGGGGTTAAGGTCAGCACTATAATATTACCAGCCACTGTGGCTTCAGTTGGATCCCAGGCCAGGGAATTGACCGACATGGAGCAGGAGACCTCTTCTGGCTCGCCTGCTGCTCCCCTCAGCTGTGTATTTCACTAGATCTGCCTATTCTGCTCCTCATTCTGTCTCTGGTGAATCCTCTCACCTCCACACACCTCTGGCCTACACTCCAGTTCTTGTATGCATAAATAAATAAAAATAAATCTTAAAAAAAAAACACCAGATACTATTTTTATTGAAATGGTATTTCCTTATGACCCGTAGGAGACCAAAAAAGCCTTTCATACCTTCTGATAATGCCAGGCAGTGGTAGTGTCCACAGGAAACTTGTATTATTTTTATATCAGTGAACGTTTTTATCTCCCTATAATGAAATGGAGAAAATTAATCCTTCTTTAGAGTGGGCCACAAAGCAGCCTACAGATATATAAAACTATCCCAGGTAATGCATTATATTAGGGAAACAATTTTATTTTCTTGTATTTCTCCAGCACTTTTTATTTATTTATTTATTTTTTAAATAATAAATTTTATTTTTATATTCCCCATACAATTGCAGCCCCATTCTGACCCCAATCCCTCCCCTCCTGCCCCCGCCCCCCAAAAATGTCTCTGGTTCATAGATTTTTGTTGATTTTGATTTTCACTTTCTTATAGTTATTCATTTTCCTGGTCCCTTATTTAAGTTTTCTAGATTCCTGCTATGAGTGAGACCATCCGGTATTTTTCTTTTTCATTCTGGCTTATTTCGCTGAGTGTGATCCCTTCCAGCGCCATCCAAGTTGCTGCAAATTGCGTGTGTTTATCTTTTTTGAATGCTGAGTAATATTCCATGGTGTATATGTACGACATCTTCTTGATCCAGTCATCTATTTTTGGGCATTTGCGTTGTTTCCAAAACTAAGCTATTGTAAATAGTGCTGCTATAAACATAGGGGTGCAGGTGCTCTTTGGAATTGATGTTTCTGTGTCCTTTGGGTAAATACCTAGGAGTGGAATTGCTGGATCATATGGAAGCTCTATGTTTAGTAGGTCCAGAAATCTCCACACAGCTCTCCATAGTGGTTGGACCAGTTTGCACTCCCACCAGCAGTGCAGAAGAGTTCCTTTTTCTCCACACCCTCGCCAGCATTAGTTGTTGCTAGTTTTTTTAATATGTGCCATTCTCACTGCACTTTTATTCCAAAACCCTCAAACTGTTTCTAACATGACAACCACATGTACAAAGGCACAATGATGACTCCAAAAGAGTATATGATGCAAAAGTGACTTTTACTGAACTTCTAATGCATGACATAATCACTAGCTTTCATTCTATCCTTATTGGCTAAAAGAAAAATGTCTTCACACACCGATAGCACAGGGCTTTATACTTTATAGAAAATCAATATGTAACAACTAATTTAAACCCTGTGAGAAAAGGAAATCATTGGGTTCAATCTTATTAAATTGCAATTTGTACGAATCAAAAAAAAAGTTGGCAATTTCATATCTTTGAACTTAATAGAACTGTAAAAGGTCACACAGAAAGAAGTCATAGCACTAGACTCACACTTTGGTCTTTTCATTCCTCGTTTGATGATAGAGATCATCCTATCTCTCATATAATTTCATACTGGAGAAGGTAATAGTATTAAAACACATGCTTTTGAAAATTCCCAAAGTGTGAAGCTCATGAATGCACAATTCAGACTGTTATACCCTTTGTCCTAGTAAGGCATTTGTGAAGAGGTGGGTCTGCTAGACTTAAGCAGCCTGTTTGGCCACCATTTAGTTACCTGCTGTTCTGCATTCCTATATAAAGGTCAGAACTGCCCGGACAATCAGTCATAGTAGCCAAACCTTACAAGGTGCCTATCAAATCAATTAAGAGCAGAAAGCTGGATCATCAGGGGAAGGGTATCATAAAGAGGTATGACTGGGAACGCTTGAGGAGCTAATCACAGATGCATAAACTTACTCCCCACTCATACATCATGAGGATGGCTGGGAACACCAGGGAGGCCAAGGACCGTGTATGACAAGGGACCCCAGAAGCTGATCAGTGGCAAGCCTTGTTGATTGAACCATGGATGGGGGTCTGAGGTATGATTTCGATTACAACTCCTTCTTTTTAAAGATTTATTTATGCATACAAGAGCTGGGGTATAGGCCAGAGGTTCGGGGAGCGGAGGAGTGGTGAGAAAAGTCACCAGAGACAGAGTGGGGAACAGAACAGGCAGACTGACTGAAACATACGGCTGAGGGGAGCAGCAGGAGCTACAGGAGAGGTTTGCTGCTCCATGTGGGCTGCTCCCTGGCAGGCTGGGGATCGAACTCTTGTTGCAGAGGCTGTGGATCACTTCATAGTGCTGTGCTTAACCCCTTGAGCCACCAGGGAGGCCCCTCGATTACAACTCTTGGTCATCAAGCAGATAAGAATTATCTGGCCAACACACTCATGTCTCCCCCAAGCTCTAATTGACAAAAACACATTCTTTAGTTTCACCCATCTTTTTTCCTTGTTCTCCTACCCCTGTAACTGATGCTGTATATGCTTATTCTATCAATAAAAAGGCCAGGACCTTGCTTGTTCAGCAGCATCCTGCATTGTGCAGCCTGCTCCACAACTCCCAGTTCTCTCAGTGTGGTGTTGCAGACATAACATGAATATGTGGCTTCCTCCCTTCCCTCCAACTCCCCACCATTTTACTATGTAAAATACTAGCGCTAAGTGGTTTGTGACTAGGGAAAAGATTTTGTTAGGAAGAAAACTCTTGGGCCTCCCTGGTGGCACAAGGGGTTAAGCACCACACTATGAAGCAATCTGCAGCCTCTTCAGCAAGAGTTCGATCCCTGGCTGGCCAGGGAGCAAGCCACATGGTGAAGCAGACCTCTCCTGTCTAGCCTGCTGCTCCCCTCAGCAGTGTATTTCAGTCAGTCTGCCTTTTCTGTTCCCCACTCTGTCTCTGGTGAATCCTCTCAACCCCCTCGCCGGATCTCTGGCCTGTTCCCCAGCTCTTGTAAGCATAAATAAATAAATCTTTAAAAAAAAAGAAGAAGAAGAAAACTCTCTTCCAACATCGGTCCAATTAGTAGGGGCACAGATGAATGGAGAAAATCCAAGGTTATTTTCCAAATGCACATGGGGGTTCCCAATAATGGAAAACTTGTAGAATAGCCTGAGTAAACAGCTATTTATATTACTTAGTAAAAAAGGGTGTTTTAGGACTTGGATGGGAGACTATGGATGGTTCGATTGTTTTTTTTTTTTTTTTTTTTTTTTTTTTTTAAGCTGATTCACCAATCTGGTTTCATAGTAGCTGAATTCACAGAAAAGGTCACCTCAAGAAGCTTAGGGCAGCTGTGTTTTTTGAAAGTCTCTATTTTAGTCAATAGGTGAAGCTTTAAGATGAGAGATATCTTTCTATATCTTCTGTGGCTCAAATGCCTTCACTTTTTGGTAGAATCTTTATACCAACTCTTAGGTTTCAAGTGAGTCCCCACAGTTATTTCCAATAGAGAAAATTATGCAAAAAAGATGACACATTCTCATTTTATCCCACCCATCTCCTTCACTTCACTCTAATTAAATAATACTTGGTGCTATAAGTTGCCTCCTTCCTCCTTCAATATGTTGTAATCCTTGAGCTTACAGACTATGCTTATCATAATCATCTTTGTACCCTGCATCTTGTACAGTGCCTGGCACATGGAACTAAAAAATATTGACTGACTGAATGAATGAATTGAAATACTTACACAGGAACAAGGCTTATTTTCTTATCTTCTCCAGCTCCCAGCTGACCTTCAGAACCTGCTCCCCATGCAAAAACCCTTCCTTTGTGGCAGACAGCCAGAGAGTGCTCCTTTCCACAGCTCACAAAACCAATACGCAGAACTTTAAATGCCTTAACTGGTGCTGTGGGGACAAAAGCAAAACAAAACATCAATGCCCACTAGGATATCAACTTAACAAGTTTAAGAGAGTACTTACCTTCAAAAGAGACGAATCACTTGGATTTCTATCTCTTCCAATGAACTTTTAAATCAGATCTGAAGTCCATACTGAAGGTATAAAGAGAAGTTTAATGTGTATAAAGTTTAATGTGTATTATACTGTTTTTATGAGAACATAGCTGCTACATAAAGGAGCACACATCATGAATAATGGGAATCTCTGGGGACTGTGACTCTTGTATCTCTATGACAGCAGCAGCAAAATCCAGCAAAAATAAAGGGAACTGGAGAGATGATCACCTCCACTCTCTTCTTTTGGCTTCCCAGCTCTGGACAGTAAGAGTAGGAACTACCTTGCAAAGGAGGAACCTGTAAAAGGGCAGATGCCAGAGACTCTCACAGTGAAGGAAGCAGTACTAGGCGTCTAAATGGGTCAAATATGACTACAAAGGATAACCTGAACAGAACCTGTTTTTCCAAAGTGTTGTCTCTGAGTTGCTAGAGGGTAAGAGTTAGAACACCATTATCAGTTAAGCTTTTGTTAACATGAAGGTTTTTTCTGATTCTTTATGATCTTATCCTTTTCAATGATTTGTTTTCAAACTATGCAGCAATAAAAGAATATCCAGCAGTTCATAAAACTATGCAGGCGGGAAGTACTACCACTTTCCTGGAGAGCAATTTGACATTAGTATGATGCCCTTATTTCTGCCCAAAAGGGATCTGGATAGACCACATCCAATATGCCACTTTGGCATAGAATTATTTTGTTCTGAATACAATTGAGAAGCAACAGATGTAGGAAAAATTCTCTATACTTCCCTTATCTACTTAAATGACAGGCATAATTTTCCCTTTGTGAAGGTATCTCTTCATACCAGCAAAAATATAGTCACCCTTAACACCAGAGTCAGCACTGAGATAAATCTCCACAAACAGCTTTTATTAAAATACCCCTTGTTTTTCACTAATTTCCTCCAAATATTTCCAAAGCACTTCCCCACAATTTAGTAGCCCTGAAAGCCCAACTTCTTTCTTTTGTTAAAATGATATGGAAGTTCCAAGTCAAACCACTTCTTGCATATCACTCCCTTTCCCTGCACATAAAATAATAAAATTGCATGCTTTTTTCTATTATTAACCTTTGAAAAAGATAAATAGTCTATTTAATTTGCAGGTCCCCACGAAAGGACCTAATAAGGTAGACAAAAGGTTTTTCCCTCCTAGACAAATGTTTGGGGATTATTCCAAGCAAGCATGAGAAATCTGGTCAAGTGTTTACTTATATCAATCATAGTATTATTTATAAAAGGCCCTAATGGAAAAAAGTCGAATTTCCACAAAAGGAGAGAAATTACATCATAGCAATCTCAGAGCCTGAAATGTAATGCGACAATTTAAACTGTTCTTTAAAAATGCATAACGAAATGTTCATGATATTATTACGTGTCGTGAAAACGCAATTTACAGAGCTGTATAAATACTGCATACATAAAACTGTACAATGAATAATTTTTTATAATGGTTAGCCACATAATAGGGGGAAAGGCAAGAAGGAAATGAATCAAAATACTAGGAGTTGTCTTCTGGTGATGCAATTATAGGCGATTCCTACAATTTCACTAGCGGTAAAAATGCTGTTACACATATGCTGATTTTAAGAAAAAAGCTGTCTCAGGGTATTTCTGAGAGCGTTACAACTGTGCAACCCACAAAGCGCATTTGAAAGGTGATGCCTTGAGAAGACCAAGGATTGGTCTCAAAGGCGAAAGCGAGGGACACCGACCCCGCCCGCAGCAGCGCGCGCAGGGTTAGTTCCGCTCAGTTTCGCTTTGGAGGAACTGGAAAGTGAAACAAACCCCAAGCGCGTCTGGTAAACGAAACTGAGGACGTCGCGCCCGGGCATCCCACAGCAGCGTTTGCGGCTCTCCGGTGGTGGGAGCACCGTTTGCGGCTCTCCGGTGGTGGGAGCACCGCAGGCTGCCAGCGCCCTCACCACGTCCTGCCCCAGGGCCCGGCGCTCACCTGGCTGCTCCCGGTCCCTCTCGTCCCCCAGCCCCAGCTGGCCCCGACTGTTGTCCCCGCACGCGGAGATGGACCCGTCGCTGTGCAGCAGCAGGAAGTGGCGCTCCCCGCTGGCCGCCTGCCGCAGATTCCCGGGGACTGGGCCCGCCGCCCCCCTGCGCCCCTGCGGATCAGAACCCGCGCGCCAGCAGAAGTACATCCCTCCGCTGCTCGCGAATGCCTCCCTGGATCTGTTGCTTCAAAACCGTGGGCTTCCAAAGGCTGGTGTTCCTAGTGGGCTGATTTCTCTAAACTGATTGGGTCTGCCTCTGGCATGACGTTGCGGTCCAGTTGGACTTCAGGATTGCTGGCAAGTTGCCCTAGGTCATCTAGACCCTTCCCTGCCCTTGACTTTCGAAAATCAAACACACAAAGTAAGGAGGAGAAGTGAGGGTCCCAGGAGTTAAAAACGCTGGAACTTACCTCCTAGCAAGCCATTTGTGAGCTGTGTGACTCTGAGCAAGTTACCTAAGGGTCCTGCGCCTCAGCTACCATGTGCATGCAGTGTGGACAGTAAAGTACAGCAAGTCCAATGTGTTAGAGTCAGGTCAGGAGACAATACGTCCAGTGTCAGAATAATGCCTGGAGTGCTTAGTGAAAAGCATCAGAGTGCCCATCCTCTTAGACTGGTTTTGCACTGCAAATGCAATATATTTTTTTTAAATAATAAATTTTATTTTTATATTCCCCATACAATTGCATCCCCCCCATTCTGACCCCAATCCCTCCCCTCCCGCCCCCGCCCCCCAAAAAGTGTCTCTGGTTCATAGTTTTTTGTTGATTTTGATTTTCACTTTCTTATAGTTATTCATTTTCCTGGTCCCTTATTTAAGTTTTCTAGATTCCTGCTATGAGTGAGACCATCCGGTATTTTTCTTTTTCTTTCTGGCTTATTTCGCTGAGCATGATCCCTTCCAGCACCATCCATGTTGCTGCAAATTGCATGAGTTTATCTTTTTTGAATGCTGAGTAATATTCCATGGTATATATGTACCACATCTTCTTGATCCAGTCATCTATTTTTGGGCATTTGGGCTGTTTCCAAAGCTTAGCTATTGTAAATAGTGCTGCTATAAACATAGGGGTGCAGGTGTTCTTTGGAATTGATGTTTCTGTGTCCTTTGGGTAAATACCTAGGAGTGGAATTGCTGGATCATATGGAAGCTCTATGTTTAGTAGGCCCAGAAATCTCCACACAGCTCTCCATAGTGGTTGGACCAGTTGCAAATGCAATATTAAAAGAAAAAGAAAAGACAAATTTTCTTGGTGTTCTACATTCCCCTATAAAGCTGATCAATAAATACTTAGTATAACAGTGCAACATGAAGAAGAATAAAACAGTACAGAAATACAAAACAGTGGGGGTCGAAAGAACTAGTATTTTTTTTTTCGACAAAATATCAGGGAAGACCTCTCTGAGGAAGTGGCAGAGAGTAGAGGGGACGTGGGAAGTGAGGAAATGCATCATGCTCATATCTAGGGGCAGAGAGCAACCAGGAGCAGTTGGAAGGTTCTGAGCAGAGAAGTGTCATGAGCTGACTTTAGTATGCGAAGAGTCATTCTGGTTGCCCCTGAAGAGTCTAAGCCCAAAGGAAGATGTGGAGACTTAAGTGATGAAGAAGAGGGAGGAGAGGACAACTTTGCCAGATTCAAGATGTTTTCAAGTGGAAACCACAGATTTGCATATGGACAGGAAGTGAAGGAAAGAAGAAAAAGGGAATAGGATTACTGCAAGGTTGGCCCAAGCACTGGTATTCACCAGTGATATGCTTCACCTGGATAGTGTTTTATTTTTGCAGGGGAAGCTCAAATTCTTGCTCAGCCACTGAGCAATGTAACTGTCTTTGTCAGTAATTTATGTGGCACAGGTCACTGTAGGATATGCAATGTATTGTAATGAAACAAGCCAATAGCACACAAAATAATCTCTCTTAACAAGTGAGTACAGGAATAACAGGCTCCATACCAATAATAGATCACTGATACAGGCAGCGCGCGCATGTGTGTGTGTGTGTGTGTGTGTAGGAAAAAATGTCCTAATTTAGTGGAGGTGTACTGAAAGATCTCAGAAGAGTCTACCTTAAGACTTGTCACTATGGCATGCAGATTATTTCAAGCTAAAGTCATTTGAGGCCTACAAGCTCAAGAGGAACAATAACCACTCCCTTAACTACCTAGATGGATGAAAATGGGAGGTTTACTCAGATTTAGGGTTAGCTCCAGAAATGACCACTCTACCAGAGAAAGCCCCCTATGGCAGGACCACAATGTAATTACACAGCATCCGGGTCTTTGGTCGTATCAGTTACCCTCTCCTCATCATGTGAGCCCTCTTCTTTCTTGCAGCCCAGGCCCCTGTTTATTCCCTAGCACAGGATATATGCCCTTTCCCCACTGAGAAATGAAATCCTCATAATCTATGTAGATTTCCCATAAGTAAATAATTAAACTGCTTTTTTCTCCTGCTAATCTGTCTGATGTTGCTTGGATTACTCAGCCAGTCCAAGAAGAACCTAGAAGGGAAGAAGGACATTTCCCTTCTCCCCTGGAGTGCCTGTCTGAGTTGGTACTCAGGCGTGTTACTCTGTTAGCCAGGGGCTGATGTCCAGTCACCAGGCCAAAGCACAAGACTTTTGCTGCTAGAGCTTTATGCTGAGAGAGGGGAGGCACTGTGTTTATAGGCGAGATCCTTCAGGGGCTGCTGCATAGTTCCTCCTACCAGCAACAGAGATTATTAGCCTTTGCTGCAACAGACTTTGCTGCAGGAACGGCTATTGCCCCAAGGTCTTTGAAGAAGTAAGTAGATGAGATGTGTAGCCTTGGCCAGGCCACACATTCATAAACTTCCAGTATTTATTTTTTAAGATTTAGTTATTTATATATGCAAGAACTGGGTGTAAGCCAGCGGTCCAGGGGATGAGAGGATTCACCAGAGAGAGTGGGGAGTAGAACAGGCAGATCCGAGCAGCAGGCAAGGCAGGAGAGGTCTGCTGGGCCATGTGGGTTGCTCCCTAGCTGATTGGGGATTGAACTCATGCTGCAGTGGCTGGTGATATCTTGATAGCGCTGTCTTTAACTCCTGTGCAACCAGGAAGCCCCACATTTATGTATTTAAAGTATCGATGTCCATTACAGCATGGACACCATTGTCATTATTATAGCATCAGTGACATATAGTCCTCTCTATGTTCACACTGATAAGTACTTGGTAGCATCATGAGGTTTGTTGACATTATTATGCATATGTTCCTGTCGATAAGCACTCAGGAGCATAACACCATTGCTGATATTACCCTGACATGCTCATACTGATAAGAAAGTCCTTATATCCATCTTTATTTTTTTTAAAGATTTATTTTATTTATGCATATAAGAACTGGGGTACACGCCAAAGGTGTGGGAGGTGGTGAAAGGATTCATCAGAGAAAGTGGGGAGCAGAAATGGCAGACTGACTGAAATACACTGCTGAGGGGAGTAGCTGGTGAGACAGGAGAGGTCTGCTGGGCCATGTGGGTTGCTCCCTGGCTGGCCAGGGATTGAACTTGCGCTGCAGTGGCTGCCAATAGCTTAATAGTGCTGTCTTTAACCCCTGTGCGACCAGGGAAACCCCCTATCCAACTTCAAAACATTTTCATTAGGACCTCCCTGGTGGCATAGGGTTAAGTCTCAGCTCTATCACCAGTACGGCCTGAGTTTGATCCCCAGCCAGAGTGGTAACCCACATAAGACACAGCAAACCTCTCTGACCTGTCCACAGTTACCATTAGCAATGTATTTCAGTAAATCTGCTCTGCTCCCCACTGTGTCTCTGATGAATCCTCTCACTCCCTCACTTCTGGCCTACATCCCAGTTCTACACAAAAATAAAATTATAAAAATGAATAAATAAATAAAACATTTTCATTAAAGCAATTTACTCATAACAAGTTCAAACCATTCAAAAGAAGCTTTTAAAATATGGCTTTGAAATCCTAAGTCAGTACACAATAGATGGGGAAAACTGAGGGAGGTGGTAGTTTGGGGCAATGAGTCAGGAGTCCAATCTGATAATAACAGTAAGATGTTTGTAAACAGTAAGATGTTTGAAAAGAGGGGCCTCCCTGGTGGCACAAGGGGTTAAGATGCAACTTATGAAGCTATTTGTATCCACTGATCCCTGGCCAGGGAGCTACCCACATGGCGCAGCAGACCTCTCCTGCTGCTTCCCTCAGCACTGTATTTCAGTCAATCTGCCTGTTCTGTTCCTCACTCTGTCTCTGGTGAATCCTCTCAAACCCCCCACCCCCGCCTCTGGCCTGTACCCCAGTTCTTGTATGTATAAATAAATAAAAATCTTTAAAAAAAAAAAGGAAAAGAGCATCAGCCATTTTGTAGTGGAAAGAAGTCACAACGGAGTCATAAACTTGGGACTTGATACTTGCTGAATGAGGTGACCCAGGGGGGTGAGTGTGGCTAAAACCTAACAGAGGGAATCCTAAGAGGAAATTTGGGAGGAGTGGTATGTCCAAGCCAGTGAATCACAAGAGACCAATCAACTCTGTCAATGGCTTATGGAGCAAGACAAGGATTGTGTGTTGGTCTTTAGATTTGGCAAAATGGAAGTCACTGATGACCGATAGAGTTAACCATCATCAGCATTGTTTTATTTATGATGCCAGACAGCAAGGGTCTTTAAAACTGGCCAAGGACACTGCCCAAATAGTTTACCAGTCACTGTCTGAGTTCTCACCTGTCTGCAAAATTGCAATACTACTCCAGCTCAGAGAACAACAATAATGGAACTTTTTTTTTTTAACAGGGAAAAGCAAGGAGTTACTGAGGCCAAAAAATGACCGTTTACCTTACCCGAAGCAGTATCCAGTGTTTTAAAGTACTAAACACGAAAGGTCCCAAAATGGCGCCTTCCTGCCACTGAGAAGGCAGAGCTCCTCTCCTGAACCAAAGGCCCAACTCCCAAGATGGCGTCTTCCAGCCACTGCGGACCTGAATCACATGGCAGCCAGAGTGTATGCCAGGTTCCAGCTCACAAAGACAACCAACAACACAATAGGAGATGCTCACCAGGGCTGCCGAGATGCCTCAGCACAACACCAAATAAGCGGCACTCGAAACAGCAGATGCAGTGGCCAAATGACCTGACAAAGGGCCATACTCACCGC